TTATGGAGCGAAAAATACGGTATATGTCTCTAGCTTTTCCCTTCAAATCAAGCTGTGGGAAAGAATTGTCTTAGTTTGGAAATGCCTTTTTGTTCTTCTTGTGCCGGTTTAGCAGGGAAGGTGGTAGTAGCATACAGGAGCAGCTGATGGGTGCAGGTGGAGCAGTGCGCCCTTCTTATCCTATTGGACACCCCACCTCTGTTCTAAGACCGTGTGTGCATGCTCATGCAGACATTATCTTCGAAGAAGCAATTCTAAACAACTTATCAGTGCTTGTATTGTGAATAATGAAATAAAATACACTTAACTAATGAACCTGGGTTACCTGTTTAGAGAAAGCAACCCTATAGGACAGTAAGGGTCATGTTTGCTCTTGAGGGCAATATGAACATGACTAACTGCAAATCTAGATTTTTAATATGTTCAGTCATTCATTGCCTGTAATAAGAATGTTTATTTATTCTGAGAAAGAGATTTTATGAATAATCCTGTTTGAGATACATGCAGAATGACTTAAATCATTTGTAGAATCCCTTCCACACTTTTCCAGTTCCAGAATTTGTTATTCAGATACAGTTTTCTTCTCATTAGTTTTTTAAGTGTGGACCAAGAAATCTGTAAGTAATTTTATTATTGAACGTGGAATCCTTAGAGTATTGTGACAATAAAGAACTATTGGCATAATAATGTGAAGCAGTTTGAATTTTTAAAGAGAAATGCTATACGAATACTAAGCTGCAATTTTTCATTTTATTTTCAGGTGTTACATCTTATGAACAAAATGAATCTTCCCCCTCCTTTTGGACCTGTTACTGCCCGGCCGCCTATGGTACACTTTAGCATTCAAAGTTTTGTTAATAAAAGTGATGTTGACCAAAAGCCTGTTGCTTAATGTAGTAAATTGCACTAAAGTAGGCCTGTTCAATTATTGGGATTTAGTGTGTCAGCTCCTCTGTATGTTCCATTGATTCAAATGGACTTACTCTAACTGCAACTTACTTTAGCTTAGTAAGTCACAGTTAGCTTACGCCCATTCGAGTCAGTGTAACTCACAGAGGAGTTGGCTCATCAGTCCACATTGATTCAGTGAGCCTACTCTAGTGCAGTCTACTGTGTTAAGCAACAAGCCTTTGGCCATCATATGTTTGTTTTAAAGATACATTTACTTTCTAAAGTGGCTGGTCAGGAACCAAAGAACTGCTTGGTCTTAGAGCAATGTTTGTATGAATCTAGTGGAATTTTGACTACAGTGGACCCTCTACTTACGGAATTAATCCGTATTGGAATGGTGTCTGCAGGTCGAAAAGTCTGTAGGTCAAGTCTCCATTGACCTACAATGCATTGAAAACTGATTAATCCCGTAACTGGCCGTTTTTGTTCCATTTTGGTGTTTTTGTTTTTTGTTTGTTTGTTTTTTTGTGTTTTTTTTTTTTTTTGGTCTGTAAGTCAATTCTCTGGCTGCAAGTCAAACCTAAATTTTGCGGCCAGAGAAGTCTAACTCGAAAAGTCTGTAAGTAGAGGGTCCACTGTATTTCCCCTTCAAAGGCTGATCTTTGTGCCATATTAATTCCTCCTTTGTTTTCTATACCTTTGGATCCACTTTGAGAGAGGAGAGAGAAAAGTGGACCTGGACATTTTTCAGGTAGCCTAGTATTTAGTGGGCTGAAGTTCCAGAGAATTTTTCTTCGAGGGGAAATTCAGGAATTACTGATGGTGCTGAAAGATATGCTCAAGTTTTTAATTATATGTTGACAGTTTCTTTGAATAATGCAGAACAAATAAGGGGGAGGGATGTGTAACAAAAAAAGTTAAGCCTCGTATTCAGGATCTGTTAAAACATCTATTTCTAGCTTCTTTTTGTACAATGGTAGGATGAATGGTTCAAGAATGCCACACATTTTCTATTGTCCAAAAGTGATGCAATGCCTTTTTCTTTAGATAGGCTCAGTACCTTTTTGACCAAATTTTTCCATATCACTGTGTGCTTGATCCCATAGGATCATTGCCAATCAGTAGGTTGTAGGTTTTAGAAAACTTGGTGATTCGATGTTGCACATTTATGAGGAAAAAACATTTAGTAATTTTCAGGGCTTGAAAAACCAGTCAGTCAAAAATTTCACCAGTCAGCATGACCGAACTATAACCTTGCAATTTATGTTAAGAAATTTAAACTAGGCACTTGTTCACTTTTATTTCTACATAACAATGCGTACAAACCCAAAATAAATTGTATTATGTACACGCTATTCACCTATGTCTTCTTAGTAGAAAATGCACTACTGTCAGATGTGTTGTACTTGTGTCCTTGAACATGCCTGATAGTTTTAACACTGAAGTACCATTTATCGATGGCTTTAGTAGGGTTAAACTGTGGTAGTGGAGGTCCATTTAGATTCACCATCATAAGGTCATTAAGCTTTCAGTCTCTAAACACGATCTGAATTTATTTTTGATCAGATTCATCTGGCTGAAACCCCTTTCACAGCTAACTATAGAAACTGGTAGAAGAGGCAATTTTAAGGAGCTTCAGAAGAACAGGACCCCTACCCCCATGTGGTTCATTGCCTCTCCCAATAAATCCACTGATGACAGACCTTTTGTGCATATTTCGAATTCATACAATTCATCCAGGGCTTTCTGAATTATGTCTTCTTTGCCCTTGTGTTGCAAAAGGTCTTTGTAATGAGATACAAGTACAGCTACTTCCTTTTTACCAGAATTTTCCAAGAATGTTTTTGGCCATGTGAAAGTATCAGATATTGACATTGATGTTAATATGCCATCTGTAGCAGTGTTCAAAAAGCGCATCTTTATGTCAGCCATTCCCATCTCAATAATTCCTTTTCTATCACATTCAAGCTTTTTTTGTTCATTTGATTCCCAATCTAGGTTCCCCCCAGGTGTTCTTGGACTGCAATTCTCAGAAGTCTTCACCACCAGTTGGCCAGCACAAGAACCAGTCCAAGGACACCCAGGTGACCCAAGATTGGGAATCACTGATTTATACCCTCAGACTTGGGTTGGTTTATTACCTGCGTGCCTGTGGGGCCATGGAGCTTGTATTTTGAAAGTCTTTCTTTTGAATGTCTCCAGCAAAAATAAAACTGAAAGCAAAAGTGCCTGGCCTCTTAAGGAGCCACGGTTCCCTCCCACCCTAGGATGTGTCCTCGTTTGGTTGAAATTAGGAGCAGAGAATCTCCATATTCTCTAGCATGCGACTACTCTACATTCTCCTGCAGAGCTATATCTCTATGTGCCACTCAAACTCTCTTCTTGTGAGAAGAGGGCAGTTTTCCTTTTGTAGTGGGAGAGAGAGAGAAGGACTGCAGGATTAGAGAGAGAGAGAGAGAGAGAGAGAGAGAGGTGGAGGGGAAAGAGGCAGGCAGGGAGGGAGCTGTGACTCATCCAGCAGCACTTTTCAGTCATCACAGATGAGTGGACGAGTACATTTTTCAAGCCCTGGTAATTTTTGAACTTAACGGGATGCACATTCCAGTTTTAAAGAGGGTGTGTATGTGGTTTGATTTCTCATTTAGTATGAAGACTATATTCCTCTACCACCTCCTATGCCACCATTTCCTCCTGAAGAGCCTCCTTTGCCTGAAGAAGAGGATGATCAAGATTCAAGCAAAGAGGAGTCAGAATATGAAAGTACTGACGAAGAAGACAAAGAGAGGTTGGTGGTATTTTGCAGAATCTCACTTTTTGTCTTATAATAGTAAAGTTTTCAGCTTAATTCTTTATGTGAAACGTCTGTGGTAGAGAACCTGTCTGTCTGTCTGTAAGTTCTGGTGAAATCAGTGAGACTTTAAAGTATATACCGTGTTTAAGACAGGGTCCTATATTAATTTTAGCTCCAAAAAACGCAGTAGGGCTTATTTTCAGGGGATGTTTTAAATTTTTTCATGTACAACAATCTACATTTATTCAAATACAGTCATGTCATCATCTTCTGGTTGCTGCACAATGGTGGAGGGAGTGGTTTCACTTAACTAGGGCTTATTTTGGGGGTAGGGCTTATATTGTGAACATCCTGAAAAATCATACTAGAGCTTATTTTCAGGTTAGGTCTTATTTTCAGGGAAACAGGGTATTTTTTGGGTAATGGTCTAGTGCTGAACAAGAGTTCTAGGAGGAAGCTGACAGGACAGCTGGAAGAGATACAAAAGCAAGCATGGGAAACACAAACTCTGTTTGGTGAGTTGCCAAGCAACAAACTAGTGCCGAAAGAACAAAAGGCAAGCCTGATGACCACAGATGGGCATGAATTACTGATTCGATGATTCAGCCAGCTTCATTTACTACTACAGCAGATGTTTGGCATTTTGGCATCCTGCTTCCTCCAGTGGGCACCCACTCAGGGGCAGTGTTCCAGCTTCCCTGTCCCACCTCTTCCAGGCATTGCCTCTGACTGGGTGCCCCCTGGAGGGGGAGGACCACTGAACCGCAAAACACCTGTAGCAGCGATAAATGAATTGGGACATAGCGATAATTTGTGCCCATCTCTACTGATGAGTTGAATATCAAAATGAGGTATATAGTCAAAGTTCAGTGGAACATTCATAAGTGAGAAAATAGAAGAAGACTACTGGATGAAGGAAAACTTCTAAAAATTAATGGAAAGTTTAACTGAACATAATTGTCACACGGTCCTTCGAAGAAGAGTTTAAGTTCTAGTGAACTGCCTAACCGGTTGCTTTTTCCATACTTTAAGTTTCTATGAATCAGGTTTCCACTCTTTCTATGCTCAAAATCCTGATTCAAGGGTGGGGTGGGGAGATTTCCTATGTTATAAACTTTGCCTATAAAACTCTTATTATTTCACATTCAGAATTAATGACAGAAAAAGTCACTATATATGTTCCATGTGGTGATATATAGATTTGCAAAACTGATGGAATTAGCGACATTTCAACCAAAGCGGCAGATACCGACAAAGCAGCGCCATGCAAGAAAACGAAGAAAGATTAAAGACTTATTAAATACCTCCCTACCAACTCCACAAAGGTACTGAGATGTTGTTTAATACAAAGCATTGTTATGTAATGACTACCTTAGTTTTCTGCCATTTGGAGTTTTATACAGTGACTTTGATTTCCTTATTACCTATTGTCTAGGCGGCTTACAACATGCATTTAAAAAATGATTGCACAGAAATAAATGCCAGAGATGGTGTTTGTGCACTTTAGATAATCTTTTTTGTTCTGGCTATTCATTAATATACTTCCCCTTAATCCTACCACTTTCTGAAGCTTGACATTTCTACTTCTGCTTTTTATTCTATGCTGAGTGGCTAGTCTGCAACAAGAATTATAGATTTCTAATCCTCCCTTTGTGTTGCACTGGATTTGCTGGAACATGTCAGATTCTAGCATATCCCCCACCCGCCCCGCCCCGCCCCGGGATAATTTTGAGTAGCACATTAGCACCATTTGGGGAGGGGAGACTTATGACTGGAATGGGAATATTTCAAAAACGAAAATAATAATAAGCTTAATGTATTTTAAACAGTAATTTGCAACCAGCGCTATCACCTTCAGATGTGTTTGAGCAGCTGCAGCCTGTTGGCCTCAAAAAAATTGAATTTCACATTTCTGCAGACACACCTGCCATTCTTCAGAAAAGTTGGGAGAAAGAGCACAATAATGGTACGTAACAAACGTTTGCTTATTCACCAATTTCAAGTTGTCATTGTAGTTGGAAGCAGGTGCAGTCTGTTGGGCGAGTGACTGACGTTTTGGTTGAGACGTCACAAGCTTGTTTAGCATGTCATCTGAATGTATGCACTTTTGTCCTCACTGGGGATTTCTCTCAACAAATTGGAAACAAACCCTGTATTCTCTAGTTTTTATGGAGGGAGACAAAATGGAGTGGACACAGAAGTTGCCTTCATGTGACACACTTAGCAAATTGTATCCTAAAGTGGTTTGTTTAGCCACTCCAAGGCAAGTGGGGCCAATTGGGCACCATGCAACAGCATATTGGCTATGACCAATAATCTAGGTTTTGTACAGAATTCTGGTTTGTCGTATTGTCTCATCTTCTCCAGTATATATGAAATGTATTGAACATTAAAAAAACATTTTACTGTTGTGGTTACTGTTTACAGACGGCATCCTGTTGTGTCATTTCTATCCATAATTCTGTAGCTGCAGCATGATTTTTGTTAGGGACAGCAAACATGGATTTCTATTTCTATTAAACTCTGAAACTTTGAATATATACTGTTAAATCTCTTTTGCGTCTACTTTTTGGCAGTATTTCATTCAGAGCTTTACAAATAGTGGCTACAGTCCAGCACAAACTTAACTTCCTTTAAAGTCTATTGAAATCAGTGCATTTAAGCATATTTAAGTTGCACTGGATTGTAGCACATATCTCAAGTATGGGGTTGCTTATGTCAGGATTACAGCTTGATGTCAAGTATTTCTTTTGGCGTGCGCTGAGTGAAGCAGGGTTATAACCAACCTCTTGATTACATGTTCTGGACTTTTTTTAGACCTTTATGCAGCGGTTGATGAAGTATCAAATGTGGGGTTTGGAAAAATATTTCCTGTTCCAATTTCCAATCATAGAGAGGAGGAGGAGGAAGAAGAAGATGAAATACCTTCAGAATTCATTTCTAAAAGAGAACTAGAAAAAGGCAGGATATCAAAAAAAGGTGATTTTATTCTTTAAAATGCTATGAAACACAGTATAAATATTTATGCTTTGCTATCATTTGAAATGCTGAGAAGGTTTAGATAGATTTGTCATTTGATGTCAAGTTGAGGTACAATCCATATAGTTTATTTCAATGTTAGAGATTAAAATAAGGAAAGCATCCAAAAACTGCAGATTACTATTAACCTTCCTCATTCTGTATTCAAGAAATGCAAACACTTTCTGTCTTCAAAAACTATGAGCCCGGTGATCCAAATTGTCGAATTTATGTGAAGAATCTGTCTAAACAAGTTCAGGAAAAGGTACATATGATTTGAGAACAATATTATTTGCTTCTTGTATCAAGGAGTGAGCACTTTTCCTGATGTACTTTATTTGAATTCCAGGATTTGAAATTTATTTTTGGAAGATACATTGACTTTTCATCAGAAACAGAACGTATAATGTAAGTGAGGGCTGTACGACTAGTTCTGTGGGTTTGGTTTTTGTTCACTCATTGCAACCAGTTGCGCTACCATTGAGCTACATAATAAATTGGTGAGTGTCATGTGTTACCACCGACTTTTAGTAAAAGATTTTTGCTCTTCCTCCATCTGCTTATGGACCAAGTGACGGAAAGAGTAATAACATATGTCTTGAAGATCACCAGTGCGGAGTAGCAAAAAAATAATAATTCTGTAGATGGGTGGCAACATGCTGAAGGAATAGTTACTAATATGTGAGGGGAAAAATTGATGTATTAGTGGAAGACAGTGGTATGAGTTTTGAGTAGAAGTGAGATTGTTGAATGAGACACAGCACTCTGGAAATTATAAATAATGGGGATAATAAATGGAGTGGTTCCAAGGGGAAGCTGACAAATAAGATGGTGGAAACTGAGGACAGTGGGGGAAGAAAAGAATGAGACAGCTGAAGAATGCAGCGTATCAACAGAACTGACATTTTATGCAACAATATACTTGGAGAGCAGAGATAGGTTATGGGAATTGGCAAAATAACTGCTTCCCCTTTTTTTCATTTAAACAAATATGTCACCATTTTTCTGTCAGGGCCTCACAGAAATCTGGGACAGGGCCAACAGTTTATGTTCTTAAGGGTCTCTTCTCTCCTCCCCTCTCCCCTCCCCTCCTCTTCTCAATTATAAAAACTTTTCTCTTCCTAATTATATAGTAGGTCTTTCCTAGGTAGTGGAAGGTGAATGCAAAGTGAGAGCAAGTGTTTGTTTCTGATTGTAAAAGGACTTAGTTGATTCTGTATACGATCTGAAGAATTTATTATCAGTTAATAATCTCTGCTACTTCCTTACATTACTGTATCTTCCTTCCATCATTTACTGTAGCATACAGTAAGCATATGAAGAAACACTCATATCTTGTTTTATCCTAGGTTTGATATACGCTTGATGAAAGAAGGCCGTATGAAAGGACAAGCTTTTATTGGGCTTCCTAATGAAAAAGCAGCGTCAAAAGCCTTGAAAGAAGTAAATGGATATGTTTTGTTTGACAAACCCATGGTAGTTGTATCCTTTTCCAAAGCTCTTCCTTTCATTTCTTATGAAATATTAAGCCTGGTTTCAATCAGTGCAGAGTGTGATGGGGTTTGTTTCCTTCCTGTTTGTCCATACAAAATACTTATTTGTTTTCAGACCAGCTGAAACATTTCTATCTGAAAGTCCTATAAAAACTGTGAGGACTGTACTAATTCATTATCTCTATTGGAGATTGTGAGCCCAAAAGAAAAAAAATTGCCGGCAGATCAGTTGATGCAGGCTAGTGAACATCTTGTGAAAATTTGAGTGAATTCTAAATAGGGGAAGGGAGTTTTTAAAAGGCCACTGGGGTTAGCTTGGCTTTTTTATTTCATTTCCTAAGACATTTGGCAAATGGCATAAAGTCAGTCACTGCATCCAAACTCTAATTGCTAAAATGGAAAACCAGTGGCATTGTATCAAAAATGTCATCTACCGTGTGGAGCCCTGGACTATCCAGTGTACCTCTTTTTTTTTTTTAATTATTATTTTTTTTTTTTTGGGAATGGCATTCTTGGTTTTTTTTTTTTTTTTTTTTTTTTTTTGGCATCTAGCCAGTAAGACCTGACACAAATTGAAGACCTTCAGGTTAGCTCCAGAAACTACCAGCTAGTTACGCAATCTGTTATTGAGGATATTGGGACTGACTGAATTTCATCAGTGCTTCTCAATCTTAAGTAACTTTCTGCTTTGAATTTTGATAAAATATTCATTAACTTTTTGCATATAGTCAGTGCATTAGCACTTTAGAATGTGACTGCACTCATGGTTGACTTGTGATGGTATATATTATAGGACCAAGTTGCTATTTAGTCTGGAGAACAGTATGTTTTGCATATTAATTTATGAGATACAGTACTAAGTTTTTAAAGAAAAAACAGTAGCAAGCAAAAAAATCAACATACTTTCCACATACAGATATCATTTAGAAGTTACTTTATATAATCAAAACCAGAACAAAACAATTCAGACAATAAATCAGAACGACCATATCTCCTCCTATTTTTTAAATCTTAATATTGTTTCTCCTTTGCAGCACTAACAAATGAGCATTCTGGCAGATTCTTTGGTTCTTTAGATCAGTTTATATAAAATAAATGGTGGAGACTTAAAAAATGTATCTTGTAAGACAGGCGTGTTCCATAATCTGTTAACATGCACAGTATCCACTGTTTGTGAATTCTTCTTGCAAGCATTTTCTGTTCCTTAATAAAAACACAGCAATTTGCTCGATCAGCGAGACCAAAGCCAGATTCCAAAGAAGAAAAGAGAAAAGCTAGGAGTAAAAACCCCTGAAGGTAAGCCTCTCTAATATTCCATCATGCCTGCATAAAAAAAAATGCTTAAGCAATTGACTTGTTACCCCATAGGTGATAAAATGTTTCTCTGGACTGCATTACTTCATGCTGGAAGTGATTGAATGGTCTTCCCTATTTTTTGGGGGGGGGGGTGTCTTACAGGAAACTAGAAATTGAAAGGGTTCTAATTTACACTTTCATTGATAATACTCGTTTAGCCCTGTTCAGATAATTCCCTCCCAAAAACAATCCTTTACTTGTTTTAACTCATAAGTTAAAATGTGAAATGATGAGGGTTCTAGGAGAGGGTTATACTTTTGGTCCTGCCTATAGATTTCGCTTTCAGAAAGGTATGTCACACACCTAAATTGCTGTTTTTACCCACAGGCACAAGCTTTCTAAACCCTTCAGTTAATGAATTGCTTCCTGAATTTTGCTGTTTTATCTTTTTTGACATTATATGTTTCTATTCAGCAGAATCCATTGTTATATGGCAGGACCTCTGTCTTGCTTCCTGGGGGAAAACTCTGTTTTGGGGCATCCCCATCCTTCTGGAACAGATCTTGGAGAGAGGCACAATTGTCTCCCTCCTCGTTCTGCTGAGAGAAGCAGTTACTTCAGCAGGAGAATATAATTGGATTCCCTCTCTTTCTGGTTAATCTCCCTGATAGTTTGCTTGTTGAAGATGGAATGGCTGAAATCCTATTGTGCAACTATGCAGGCATAACATGTGAAGCTAAGGAAATGATAGAAAAAAACTGTGACAAGATGGAATATCCATGAAACACTTCTGCAGGGAGTCTTAACAAGAACTACTTACAGTTACACAGCTTGGACATGAACCACATGTTCCACAGACATGAACCACAGCCTCAATTGCTCAACCACAACATGAACTGAGCAGGCACAAAATGAACCACACAATTGATAGTGCAGCATTGGCTGCCTGGGCATAACTACACCGTGAACAGGATGTCTTCCTTTATGTAAATGTGTTAAATAAATAACAGATGATAGATGATGGCTGTAGATTGCCAAAAATTAAAATAAAAAATAAAATATGATAGCTGTTTCAGTTCAACAGACGTAGGCAACCATCTGTCCTCCAGATGTTTAGAACCACAGTCCTGCAGAGCAGGTGACTACTGGCTATGTTGCTTGGTTCGTTGGATAGATGGGGTCGAAAATATCTAGATGACACTACCTTGCCATAGAGTCTGAGTCTTCATTGTTTTCCTGGCCAAATCTGGAGGTTTGTTTTTCTGGCCAGATCTGTCTTTTTGATTGAAAGGTCTGTCATCTGGATACTCAAATCCTGGAGTTTCCTGCCGTGTTTCCCTGAAAATAAGACAGGGTCATATAATTTTTTTGCTCTAAAAAACACATTAGGGCTTATTTTCAGGGGATTTTTTTTTTCATGTACAACAATCTACATTTATTCAAATACAGTCATGTTATCTTCGGGTTGCTGCACAATGGTGGAGGCGGGGGTTCACTTAACTGGGGCTTATTCCGGGAGTGGGGCTTATATTACGAGCATCCTGAAAAAACATACTAGGGCTTATTCTCAGGTTAAGTCTTATTTTCAGGGAAACAGGGTGATAAAGCCATTTCTTTTTTAGAACCACAGTTCTAAATCCTTTTAAAATGATTTTTTAACCTAATGCTTTTCTTCCTGTTAGATTGTTTTAAATCAGCTCAGTTTTAATAATTTGAGAAATCACATTTCTCACTGGTGTTCTTGAAAAGCCCCAGTAAATGAATGTTCCTGTGCATTGCAGCTAATTAATAATAGTTCTACAGTTAGCTAATAAGTTGAGTTCACTGTTTTTTCACACATGGCAAAACAAAAAACAAAGCAAAATAAAAAAACACACCACTGCATGGATTTTTAATATTCTTTTTAAATACTAAAAGATTGTTTAGAAGAGACTTTCCAATTCATTCCACTTAGGGATAAGAAGCCTCTTTTAGTCATAGCTACATATTTCAAGGGCCTGCTTGTCATTGGTAGTTGGGGACAAATTTAAATGTAGGCGGGTACATCGTGTCCTTTCTTGTTCTAATCCAGTGGTTCCCACCCTTGGGTAACCCAGGTGTTCTTGGACTGCAATTCCCAGAAGCCTCCACCACCAGGTGTGTTAGCTAGGGCTTCTGGGAGTTGCAGTCCAGGAATACTCGGGTTACCCTAGATTGGGAACCACTGCTCTAATCCATGCAATATACACAAATTCCTTTTCTCTCTTTCCCTTATTTCATCACTCACATGCCACAAATACAGGCTCATTATTTCTCTCATATTCACTCATACACATCTCCATCTCTATTTCTACTAGGTGGTGGTTGTTGTTGTTTGAATAGAGGAGAGAGTGAAAAGTTGGAGATGGACTTCAGCCTTATTTTGCAACTTTCCCTTGCTATTTAGAAACAGTTTCACAGCACTGGAGAAGGTGCTGCCTTCCTTGCTTCCTTAACCCAGATGTTTATGGAAACTGACTGAGCTAATGAAATGGAGTACTTTGTTTTTTTAATCTCATTTTGCTTATACAAAGAACAAACAAACAAAAACAAAAAAAGACTTTATTTGACTCTAACACTATAGAATGAGAAGTTTGCATATTTCATTTCCATTCATTTTAAATGCTATGTGGGTGCAATATAGGATTATGTAAAATGGATTCTTTTGGGCATTTTCTCCAAAGGGTTTCCCTATATTGGTATAGTGTGAATGCTTTCAGTAGTACTTTCTAGTAACCAAAATGTCTTTAAATGCTAGACTGTGAAGCAAAATTGATGGTTGCTAGAGGTGGAAACCTGCATTGTCACAGACTGGGGAAGCTGTTGAAGTATACCATCTATAAATTTAAATTCGATTCTGCTGTGTTATGTCTTCCATAACTTTATCTCAAGTTAAAATGATTATATAACTGCCGGTTTTTTTGGCTTTTATTAATCAGCAGATTTAACAACAACTGACAGCACCCATGCAAAGCAATGCAAATCATTTTAAGATGGATGTGTCCTACTGCAAGGGACATAGATAGTCACATTGTGCTTGACCCCTATCCTATCCCTTCCTGCATGGCAGCATCGGGGAGATCTCCAATCCCTGGCAGGCAAATGCGCTCCAGATAAAAAACTGAGCTTGCTAAGACAAGCTGCGGTGCTCAGTAAGATGAACACTACAGAAATCACTCTGCTTCTCAGTTTGTATTTCTGGCTTTATGCAAAAAAAAAAACACCTACAAAGACAAATGCTGTCCTAGGATGTATGTCTTCCTGATGTGACATACCACTCGGAACATTTTGTATGGATGTTTCTTGCCTATTAGCTTGGTCACTCACTAACCCACATACATGTGTGTACATGCACACATAGATATCTGGATAGGCAGCGGAATTGAAGTTGGAACATGTTAGCTTATTATTGCAAAAATACAGAGGTGTACGATAAGTTCTGCCAGAGACTGATGTCTTAGAAAAATATTGGGAAATGGGAGGAGCACTTGCGCTTTTAAAAAGACTCGGAAGCCAGAATCTGTGCATTTTCTGGCCTTGTACCAATACAGTTGTTAACATAGGTATGTTGTGGATTCAAAAATGTGCACATTTCTTACTATTATGTTTAGTCCAAAGATTTAAAAGTCCCTGTTTTTAAATAGGCAGTGTAAACGATGAACATTGCAACAGAGAATAAAAAGATTAAACAATATTCTGCTGTTCTTCTTTAGAAACATTCCTGCGTAAAATACTGCAGTAATACTGTGTCATGCAGAGTGTATCCTTTCTTGTTGTATCCTTTTGTTGTGTGTTTCTTTTCTGCAAAAAAAATTCTTACATTCCTTTTTAGCATTGCATTACACAGGAAACTAGTAGATCATGAGTAACACAGTTTAGAGAGCCATGCCCTTGTTATTTCCTAGGGTACCACCTTTGGAGTTTTCCCACCTTAAATGTAACTTTTTTGATCTCCTAAATTAAGCAACACAGTTGGCCCTGCCAGACCTTCATCAAGTGTAAACTGCTCTGCTTACGTTGGTAGAGTTAAAAACTGTGTACTAGCTGAGAGTCTGGCAGTCCTCCAATATTTATTTATTTATTTATTTATTTATTGGACTTATATACCGCCCCATAGCGCTACAAGCACTCTCCGGGCGGTTTACAATTTTAATTATACAGGCTACACATTGCCCCCCCAGCAAGCTGGGTACTCATTTTACCGACCTCGGAAGGATGGAAGGCTGAGTCAACCTTGAGCCGGCTACCTGGGATTTGAACCCCAGGTCGTGAGCACAGTTTTAGCTGCAATACAGCATTTTAACCACTGCGCCACGAGGCTCTTAATGGCCGGCAGATGGTCTTTGGCACTACAATATTGTAGTGTATCTGAATCAGTGGAGCTCAATTGGAAATATATTTACTAGTCTTAAAGGGGCTGCAATGCTTTTTGTTTTGCCAAAACAGACTAACATGGCTACCCCTCTGAAAAAAAATTCAACATCATGATATCCTGAAGAGAAAAATGGAATCTGTGGAGGAAAATAAATAATACTTTTTCTGCCTTCATGAGTAGGAATTTTGAATATTTTTAGTATTTATTGCATTTACTTCATCAATTTATATACTGCCATATTAGTGCAGTGCACTGTTTTGCATGGTTAACAGTAGATAAAATTAAACAAACCCCAAGTGGTGAAAATCATACAGATGTATGAAATCATAAAAATTACAATACCTGGATGGTGCAATATTTCATAATAAATTGGCAGTAGTCTGTCCTATATTAGAGTGGGAAAGCAGTTGAACCAGTATCTTATAAACAGCTTACTAAACTGTTACCTACTGGTTAACCTGTCTTATTTAATATGTAGTGCACTATTCTGTATTCAGGGCATAAAAATAGAATAATTCCAGACAGACTCTTTGAGTTGTATCCAGGATTCCCCTTCTACAAATAGAACTTGAAGTGTCTTATGAGCAGAGTTGTCTCCCCATAACTCTGGATGCAAGCTTTAGTTGTCCCCTCCACTCTCATTATCCAGGCCAGTGGTCCCCAACCTTGGGCTCCAGATGTTACTGAACTACAACCCCCAGAAGCCTTCACCACCACTTGTGGTGGCCAGGATTTCTGGGAGTTGAAGTCCAAGGACATCTGGAGGCCCAAGGTTGGGGACCACTGATCCAGGCCATTCAGTTTTCCAGTTGAGAAATGTGTGTGTGTGCTTTTAATGTGCCTTTAAATCATTCCAGGTTCATTTTGACTTCCATGTCTTTCAAGGATATTCAAGCTTTGGGAAGAAGGTGTGTGATCAGCTGGACTGTTGAACAGTACAAGTGCTTGAAATACAACACAGTTCTCCATTAACCATACGTGCATATGGGCTTTTAAACAATGGAGGCCTTGCAGTCATCTAGCAGCTGTGCAAAATGTTGCAACTAGATATCTAATAAATTATTCACTTTTGCTCTGGTTTGTTGCTTTTTTCCTTAATAGAAAGTTTTTTGTTTTGTGTGCTGAACTAGAAAATGTGATGCAGCTGTTGAACCACTGTATTTTTCCAGTGTACAGTGGTGCCCCACTTGACGATTACCTCATTGTACGACAAATTCTCTGTACGATTAGTTTATCACGATCGCTATTGCGATCGCAAAACGATGTTTCAATGGGGTTTTTTTCGTTTGACGACGATCGGTTCCCTGTTTCAGGAACCGATTTTTCGCTTTAAGACGATCAAAAACAGCTGATCGTCGGGTTTTCAAAATGGCCACCCGCTGTGCAAAATGGTTCCCCGCTGTGTTCAAGACGGATTGTTCACATTACAGGCACCAGAAAATGGCTGCCCTATGGAGAATCTTTGCTGGACGGTGGGATATTTTGCCCATTGGAATGCATTAACCGGTTTTTAATGCAGTTCAATGGGCTTTTTACTTTCGCTTGACGACGATTTCGTTGTACAGCGATTTTGCTGGAACGGATTATCGTCATCAAGTGAGGGACCACTGTATATGCATTGTCTTCCATGGCAACATGGAAAATTCCTATAGATGCTGTAAGGGTTCACAGTTTACATCCTCCCTTCCATTCTTTCCCCAAAGAGACCTAACGCAGAGTCATGTTGTTGCTTTGAACTAACTTTTATGGACGATGACCTGATGGAGTCTCTATGAACAACCTCTGACAGTAACTTGCCTTCTATCTCCAACGAGGAGAGAAAGGGGTTCCATTAATTATCTTCCCATTTCTGTACATCTAGGTCACCATCCACACTGACCATCCCTTCTTTGTGGTTTCTGGTGAGAGCAACTTTGGCATCAGTGGGTCAAATTCTTTTCCCCACCACTTCTCTTTCCTCCCAACCTCTGCTCAACCTTGGGTTTTCCTCCAAGGTTTCTTCTGGCCTGTCAAGGGATGGCAGTTCCATAGAGTCTCCAGTGGCTTTTCCTCTCTACCTTGTTGGGCTCACTGTTCTTGCTTCATTCTCTTGTGGTGGCAATTGGCCACTACAAATAATGCAACACTTGAAACAGATTTTTCAGAAGTCTATTACATTAACTAATCATAGTGTTGGTGTGATGACAACAAAATGGATTGCCTCCATGTGCTGGATATACTTTTGCAAATGAACATTAAAAGTGGTATAAATCTACATATTTATATAGCAACCTCACCTTGAACAAAGTATTCATGAAATGGTAAAGATTAAGAAGATTACTAAATATAGTCAAATAACAGTGTGGCAGTGAAATACAAGAACACAGTAAATTGTCCATGATATTTGGTTTGATACCATGTTTCCCTGAAAATAAGACATGGTCTTATATTAATTTTTACTCCAAAAACGCAGTAGGGCTTATTTTCAGGGGATGTTTTTTTTTCATGTACAACAATCTACATTTATTCAAATACAGTCATGTCATCTTCTGGTTGCTGCACAATAGTGGAGGGTGGGGTTTCACGTGACTAGGGCTTATTTTTGGGATAGGGCTTATATTACAAGCATTCTGAAAAATAATACTAGGGCTTATTTTCAGGTTAGGTCTTATTTTCGGGGAAACAGGATAGTAGTGAAGTGAAGGAGTCAAATAATAGCCTCAGTGGCTGAAATGAACTGGGATATTTATTTATTCAATTTATATACCACCCACCTAGCAAATCATTATGAGATATAGGTGGATACATCATTGTGTCATCATCTTGTGCTATTTGAAATGCCTCAACTTCATCTTGTCGCTTCTTTTCAAACTCTTCCCACTTTCATGGCTGCGGCTTTGGAAACAGGCCTCGGCCTTGGAGATGAGTCTGGAGCCCGAAAAGAAGTAGCATGGATTCGAATTAATGTGGATGGGTTGGTTGGAAATTTAGGGGGAAAGGGAAGTGTGCCTGAAGTTCTCCTGGGGTATCTAAAATACCCCCTTTCCCCAGGTCCTGTTCTTTAGACTTCCCACACTTTGTGCCTTTTGGACAAAAAGTTAAAGAGAAAGCAATGACTTGTGCGATTTCTTAAACATTTCTGAATTTGATTTGCGAACAAGGGAAAGGGCTATACTTCCCAAGCGAAATGATCACACAGCAAGAATCAGTGGCTCCATTTCATAGTTCTCTATCAGCGTGCCAGATCTACAAATAGAAGGCATGGCACACAATCTGACTCATACAAGCAGAGACCAAGGTTACCGTGCAGAATCAGTAAGAGCATATATTTTAAGTGTGTGGCTTAAAATGTTGCTTGGGAAATGGTGTGGATGGGCAGGGGAGTTCCAGATTATTAGTGGAACATGTATGATAGCAGTAGGGAATACCATGCCAACAGGGGGTGATTAAAGCGATAACTTGATCTAATCATGTCTTGTGTCTGATTTAAGGATTCCATGTGTCCTTTGAGTGACTTAATTCATTCATATGTTGAGCTGTTGCTAAAGCAATCAGGCTGGGCTGCATAATAAAAGAGTACAATCAATAAAAAAAAGTCAAGGAACATAAAAAAGACAAATTAAAAGCAGCAGCAAAAAACAGCACAGGGGAAACACGATAAATACCAAATCCAATTAAAGCATTCACATTGCAAATTCTCAGGCAAAAAAGAAAGCTCCAGGTCAGACTAACTAAATATACAGGCAAAACTATATCTCACCTGCAACATCTTTTTTTTCTTGATATTTTCCCACACAGAAAACAGTTATTCTTGTTTTGAACTTCTTGCAGTAAAGGAATCGTAAAAAGATGGATTGAGTGCTGCTCTTTAACTACTTGGGTTGGCAGTTCCAAAACCCTGCTTCTTATGTACACTGGGCCTTCTAGGAGAGTGAAATGGCACAAGTGTTCTCTTTTTACCACACTAACACAATGAGGGTGTTCCATGCAGGCATACTGCTTTGTGCACCCACTCCACAAAGTGCAGGATCTTGCTTGCAGTATCGTAAGGCAACAATTCCATCTGCTTGATACGTAGGCTGGCTGACACACTAGCCTGCATTGGCTGGGTGACCAAAAGCTTGTATGCCCAGTGTAATGATGGACAGCAAGGGGAAAGCGAAAACTTCCTGCCCGGGTGCCCATCTGCATATGCTTTACCCTAATGGGATGTTTGCATTAATGTATACTAATATAGTTCTTTGATTATATGTATGAACGAGTCCACCTACAAATTAATCTATTCAGAAGTACAAAAGAAGGCTTCAAAATTCTGTTGGTTTGATGAAAACATGGGGAAAGCAGGACTATTTCTTCTCTTGCATTCAGAATTTGTAAATGCTACACTGTAGGCTTTTGGACTTGGATCCATTAATCGCTCCTTTAAAACATCTGGATTTGGCAAGCTGCACTACAGAAGAGGGGGACTTGTTTTTTTGTTTCTGACAAATTATTTGGCAAGCAGCTCTGGCTGTAAAACAACAGGACAAGCAACTTTGGAGGGAGATTGGGGGATATTTTTTGACCTGAGCAAAAGAGAAGTTGAAAAGATTGCAAAAGAAGAAACAAGGTTGATTTAGAATTGCTGTCATACCCTTCCTGTTTATAACTAGCACCAAAGCAGCAAAACCTTTTGACAAAACCCTGGAATTAGCACCACTGAGAAGAGAGGTGGGAGGTCGAGTAAGACTTTATTTATGGTAACCAAATGTGTACTTTAAAGCAAGGCTGGAAAAACTCTTCTCATAAATTCTGGTCAGTAGCATAAGGAATCATGGCAACTATAAATCTTAGCAAAACCTTTTGACAAAACCCTGGAATTAGCACCACTGAGAAGAGAGGTGGGAGGTCGAGTAAGACTTTATTTATGGTAACCAAATGTGTACTTTAAAGCAAGGCTGGAAAAACTCTTCTCATAAATTCTGGTCAGTAGCATAAGGAATCATGGCAACTATAAATCTTAACATCTAGAGCAGTCATTTACAATCTAAGATAATACAGGGTAACTCCTAGGAACCCTAGCCAGCACAACTGATAATTAAGGCTTCTGGGAACTGCAGCCCAAGAACATCAGGGTTCTAGAGCAATGGTTCCCAACCTTGGGTGCCCAAATATATTTGAACCAAAAACCAGAAGCCTTCACCACTAGCTGTGCTGAACAGGATTTCTGGAAGTCGTAGTCCCAAAACATCAGGGACCCCAAGGTTGGGAACCAGTGGTTCCCAACCTTTGGTGTCTAGATGGATTAAAATTCTCTGAAGCCTTGACCAGTAGCTATGCCTGTCAGGATTTCTGGAGGTTCTAGTCCAAGAACATCCGGGAGCCCAAGGTTTCCTACTTAGCCTTTTTTAAGTGGGACATTTCACTGACAGGACTGGGAAAACAAACGCTAAAAAAGGCACCTACTGTCTGACAAATGAGAGGATGGCCACTAGAGGGCAGCAGCCAGATGCTTATGCTCGCGGACGAGCTAAACAGGTACCGAAGACAGGAAAGCGTTTTGACCATAGAGCTCCCTAGAAGGGGCGGGGCCTCGTTCACGAACCGGGCAACGATTGGCTGCGGCCTGCCCATCGAGGGTGGCGATGTTTTAGAGGTTGGAGCTTAGGAGTTTTGGAGGGCATGGTGTGGAGTGTCTGAAGGGGCGCCCACGTATGTAAGCCGTTCACCGTGCGTTTAGCCTGGCGACCTTTCTCTCTGGGCATATTAGTTAGGCGAGTTGCACCTAATCAGCGTCCATAAACTATCGTCTCCTTTTGGGAGCGGTTGGCTAGTTGCCAATAAACGCAACAAAACACATCCAGACGTGTTTCCTGCTGTTCCTTGAGTTGCTCAGTCTAGAGAGTTAAGCTTAATGGGAGATCGGAAACGTGTGCATGCGTATACATCTGCCAGCAACAGGAGTATGACAGCAGCGGGGTCAAACGTGCAGCTTTGTGGTGTTGTTTTTTACACCCAGCATTGTTGGGGGTTGATGGGAACTGGAACTCCCAGGCTCTGAAAGGACTCGGGGTCCTGTTTGAGTTATACAGTACTTACTTTCCAGCAGGGGAGCTGAGCCTTGGTGCAACAAAGGCCGGGCAGAAGGTTGTGGCACCTCAAAGACTGTCAGGTTTTGCTTGGTAATACACACGCTTTTGCATCTTGCTGCACCAGATGCATGTTTGTATGCGACACGTTGCTAGGGACTTGACATTAGGGAATCATCCTTGTCAGATGGATTGCCTCCCCCCCAGTCTAAATACTCTTTGCACATTCCCACCCAACAGACATAAATAATTTTATTTCCAGAGGTTTAGAACGCTTGTAAATATGGATCAGGGCTGGGGAGCCTGTGTGTAGCCTTTCAGATGCTTTTGCACTTCTCTGTCCCAACAAGTTCTGCCAGAAGTGAAGTATTATGGCAACAGCAGTTAATCTATACCTGGAGGGCCATCTCTGATGCATTATGCATCCCTGGTGGTCTGGGTCCACTATACTAACAGTCACAAGTAGTTCATCTCAACATTTCGAGGGGAGAGGCTCTCCCAGCCCCAGTCATAATCCACCTTTGGACACTGGCATTACTGCAAATTTCCTCCTTTGCCTCAGGCTGAGAGATGCATCCATGTAATTCCCATCTGTTAAGATCCCAAAGCAATCTAAAGTTTGCCTCAAGGGTCTGAGGCAGCCATTGCAGAGTGAAAAGCTGACACAGTGTTTGTGCCATTTTGACTGGCCTCGTGATCACATACCTGTGGATTTTGGAACATGTTCTTATTTGTCTTGCATTTGAGAGATATGGTACATGTTGCTGCCTTGGAGTGAAGTCTTGCCTAGCTTACATTTTAGTTACAGTTGACCATTGTAATGAACTGCTGTGTTCTTCCTCAACTCACGTTCAGTTCTGTGAGAAGCTAGAGCTCCTGTTGATCCAAGGGTGGTAAAATTACATCCCTTGCCTACAGTGTAATTCTACTCATAGCATGTAAGAGGAATGCAATAATGGGGCAAATTTTATTTGAGTGTACAAAACGGACAGTTGGAAGATAGCTCTGAAAAGAAACAGACCCCTGTTGAATTTTGGTGGGATACACAGTACAGAACTCATCCATCTGCAGCATCGTTGCTCCATTGCACCCTGAAACAAGACACAAAGAACAAGAAAATAAGATCTCCATGTAGTTTTAAAATCTTATGAGATGGGGAGATAGCATTCTCAAACGCTGACACAGTGTTTGTGCCATTTTGTTTGGCCTAACAATCACCTAGCTGTTGGTTTTGGAACATGTTAAATGTCATAACAGTATCCGGGTCCATAGGTATGTTATCATATTTGTCTTTTGCTTATGTGAACATTTGGGGTTGCAGTTAATTTCAGTTTCGCAAATGCATTTACTTGTTGTTTATTTGTTACACTGCTATCCCGTCTTTCTTCCAAGGAACTCAAGGCTGAAGTAAGACCATTTCTGAGTAGAAAACACAGATATGAACGAGGAATGGGAATGGGCCTCATAGTTCATCTCCCAATGTTCTCATGCAGATTGTATGGAAGAGAATCGATGTAAGATTGTAAGACAGATTTGTCAATAGCTATTTTGTTGGTTGCCTCTGGCGAGCTGAAATTGTTTCCAGGTGAGCAACTAAGAAAGCTTTAGCAAAGTGAATAGGTTCTTATTTTCCATTTCACTTTTGTTGTGCCACAGATGGTTGATGTATTCAAGTGTGGATGGGGGAAAAATTTTTGGGGAGGCTCATAACTTTTATAGATTTATTTACAAGGTCACATGTAAGACATATAGCTTGCTGGGGGGGTTCGAGGAGGAAGAGTGAGCCCCATTCTGTCTCACTGGAAAATGTGATCCTTTTTACTCCAGTGGGTAGGAGGGCATAAACAGAAATGACACGAGGCCACTTATGAAGTACAATGAATTGGAATATTTATTTGAACTTATCACAAAGAACAGAGAGCAATCATGAATACCTTTTGTTCGTTTCAAAAGGATGAAAAATTTTCATGTAGAAATCAGAACAGCAGCATTCCGTGGAGAAAACAACAGCACTCATGAAAATCAAATACGTGCCTTCCACCTATACAGCGGTCACACATGTGTAGTCAGTGTGATTTCTTGATACTATGGAAACGTCCATTAGCTGGAATGCTTCATGTTCCTTGCAAATAAGCAGTTGGTGAAGGATCAAGGTTTTTGTTGTTGTTGTTGATTTATTTTGATATTTCTTCGTGGCCGTTGTCAGATTGGCTTTTCCATATTTGGAAACTTCAGGCTTAACTTTCCAATCCCTGTGCTTGAGGAAGACAGGACCTCAGAGTCCTCAAATGTATAGCTACCAAGTCCAAGGTCTTGCTTGGGAAAGGCTGCATTTGATGAAAAGAACACGTGCCCTTTTCTCTAAGGTATTTCCATACCATTCACATTTTTATAGACTTCTGAAGTGGTTTAGAAAGAGGAAAATGCATTTAAAAACAAACTTCCATAGTGTGGTGTCCTCCAGGTTTGTTGGGCTACCACACCCAGGATATGTGGCCATAACAGTACCTAGGGGATAGAGAGATGGACTAAGGAGACCTGGATTTTAATCCTCACCTGGCTGTGGAAATTCAGAAATGTGTGTGTGTGGGAGGTTAGCATTGGTAAAACCATCCTTGAAATACTTCACTTACGTTGAAAGCTCTATCAGGGTTGTTTATGTTGGTTCAGACTTGGTGGCACACGACAGAACAAAATACGTGGCCATCTAGGTAGTGTTGTGTTGCCTCTTCTGTCTGCTCTAGCTGGGACAGGAAGTGCTTATGGACACTGGCAGTTGTAGCCAAACAGAATCTGGATGGCCATGGTTTCAAGCTTCTGCTTGAAGGACGGGCCTGCTTTAAAAGCTTTATATGAAATGGCACATGCTTCTCAACTCCCTTTGCAGCCCTACATGCTCCCACAGTCTCTGTATTTCAAGATCAATTCTAGACAGTGCACTTAATATGCATTTACAAGGAGTGTTTCCTCAAGTGGTGGAAGGCCAGCATAGGTGGTTTCTTATAGTCAAATAAATAAATAAATAGTTCCAGCTTCTGAGCTTGGACTTTGACCTTGGGCTAGTACACCAACCTTCCCCGGTTTAGCCACTGACTACACAATCTGTAGGCTTTAGATTTAGGTATGGCTGTACATGATGCTGCCTGTATGTTTTCCTCACTGTTGGTAATTGGGACTGAATGCAAACAAAAACTTGTTGCAGACCTCTGAACTTGTCCAGTGTGTTGACTCCCACGAACAAACAAAAGTTGTGCCCTATTGCTCTTCAACCCTGTACGAGTGGTAGCAGCCTGCAGTACAACTGCCCTGCAATGGGCTACTTTAAAATAACATGCTTCCACTCAGGCAGAAGTTATGGTGGGCATCTGGAAAACTATGCTTTGCCATCCAGCAGGAATGCAAAAGAATTTCGAGAGGGCTTCCATCACGTGTCAATTACAACATGAAGAGCTTGTTGCTACTTCTCCTAGCAGCCTTTGGACTTTGCTGGAGCCAGTACACGTCAAATCCTCAACCTTTAAAGACATCTATTGTCCACCTTTTTGAATGGCGCTGGGTTGATGTTGCTCTTGAATGCGAACGTTATTTGGCACCAAATAGATTTGCGGGTGTTCAGGTTAGTGTGCTCTCCTGTTTGCTGATGGCAGAACAAATAGCCACTATACTAGGAGACAATTACAAAGGCTTACATGCCACCGAACAATGGACTCATAGGGAGAGGGGCATGACTGGAGAATCTCAGAGGCTGAATTTAGCTCCAGGGCCTAAGGTTCCTGACCCCTGATATAAACCATTGAGAAAGAGCTGACATGCCCGTATACATCTGGGCTTGGTTGTAGTGGTTTATGTGCTTTCTCCTTGAATTTGGGATCATGCAAAGCCTGGAGGTGAAGCTCCATGCTTAGAGGTATTGACTCACACCCTGTGATCTAATCGTTGTCCCCACAGCTTTGAAAGGGTCTTTATCACAATCTTCCCAATTGCTTATACAATATTAATTTCCTGTGAAAGGGCCCAAGTCCCCTGAAAGACAGTGACTATATAGACAGGCTACCTTTTTTTTCCAGGCGGGATCATATTTTGACTAGCAACTTGCACATTCCTACATGCGTGGAAGGCTTGGTGGGGATGTGCGAGCAATGTCTTCACTAAACACCATCCACATTCCTTTTAACCCTGGGTGAGGAACATAAGACCCTTCTGGCTTTGTTGAACTGCAGTTCCCATCATCCCCCAACACTGGCTATGTGCCTAGGATTGATGGGAATTGTAAACCAGCCTACCTTTGTAACTACGAGATAATAAAAAAATAGCTTATAAATATGAATAAATGAACCACAGAGTCTCAAGGCTAAACCAGACGTAGGCTAGAAAGCCTGGATAGAATGTGTTAACAAGACTGAAAGGGGTGTATTTAATAGAGGGAAAAAAATCTCCATGCAAAGCAGATGGAAGATTTTATCACACAGTTGTAGAATTACTCCCATCCCCTTCAAACTGCTCTTCCCTGCTTGCCTGTGAGACAGTCCGTACTGGTAAAAAAACCTTTTTTGGGGGGGGGGGTGCTGCCAAAAAGAAGCTAGAAAAGTAATTTTCTTTGGCCCTTCTGCAACATTTTCTCTGGACGCAATCTATGTATAATTATGCTTCCAATAATCCTTAACGCAGTTAAGAAAATTGAGTTTTACATTGTCAAGTCATTTTCAAATTATCTCATCTGTATCTTTTAACACAATTACTTAAACAAGATCCGTTAGAGTAACAATGTCTCATTGACTGAAGTTTTGTTTACTGCCTTTTTTAATCTGTAGGTTTCTCCTCCAAATGAAAACCTTGTCATCATGAATCCCTGGAGGCCATGGTGGGAAAGATACCAGCCCATCAGTTACAAGTTATGTTCACGTTCTGGAAGTGAAGATGAATTTAGAAATATGGTGACCAGATGCAACAATGTTGGAGTAAGTTGCTTTCAGTGGTTTTTTTTCTCCCTCCTGACAATAGTCTGGGATGTAGCAGGAGCTTTCAGACTGAAGTTAGCCCCTTGACAATTGATTTGTCTTTGGGTGAGAAGTGGTTAACTGGTGAAAAAAAAGAAGAGATTTTCTCTTGGGATTTTGCCTGCTTGGCATCTCTTTGTGAGTGATAGTGAGTAAAAGGTGGCATCTTGTAGACCAGTGGTTCCCAGCCTTCAGTAACCCCGTTGTTCTTGGACTGCAATTCCCTGAAGCCTTCAGCACTAGCTGTGTTGGCTGGGTTTTCTGGGAGTTGCAGTCCAAGAACATCTGTGTTACCCTGGTTGGGAACCATTGCTGTAGACCATCTTGACTGCTGACATGGGTGTCATCAACATTCAGGCTGACCTTTGCTATATAAAGCTTGGCATTCTTTTTCCTGCTGCCAATGCAGGCATGATATTGTGCACCAATATTGGATCATTTCCTGGCTACTGAGAAACACAATGTTGCACAATGTACTGATAAACTGGAGGTTTTTTGAAGAATTGAATTTCCTGTTTTTTAAAAAAATGGAAGTTTAAGTATATATAAACTCCACATGAATTCCAATAGAAACGTCACTCACATAAAATTATCCAGCACTAGAGGATCCCAAAAGTTGAGCACATGATCTGCACTAAGGCTGCTGGGAGAAGTCATAAGCAAGAACAGCTGGGATGTGGCTGCAGTCCTTCTGTGCCAAAATATTTTGAAGGGCTGTTTTGGAATTAATGAAATTATGATGCAAAAATGTTTTATGAGTGCAAGATATACAATGAAGCAACACACATACCCTTTAATCTCTCGGGGAAGCTAATCTTGCCATGCCCACTCTACAGAATGCGAACTATCATCCGTTTTCCAAATCCTTATTCTGCAAACATGTTGCCTGCATGATTTCCAAAATATGTCCCCTTGTAGTTTGAAATTTTAAAAAGTTGGGCTGGGAGTTAGCAAAGATTGTCACTGAAAGCCAAGGTCAGAATCATCCATACTGTATAAAGCACATACAATGAAGAAAGGCAGGGAGAGAATCAACTCATTTGAAATGTAGTGTTGGAGGTGAGCCTTACAGGTGCAACAGAACACCAGAAATAAGTGGGTGCTCAACCACGTACAGTCTGAACTCTTGCTAGAGCAAAAATGAATAGATTGAGCCTATCCTACCTTGCATATAATGAGAATAGAGAACTCATTGGAAAATGGGGAGAGTGGTGTGTGTGAGGGCAGTAGGACAAGAGGAAGACATAACATGAGATGAGTTGACTCCAAAAGGGAAGCTACAGCTGTTCGCTAGCAAGACCTGAGCAGAACTTATTGGAAAAGATAATGTTGCTGCGGGGGGGGGGTTGAGCAGTAGCAAGAGAGAATGAGCTAACATAGAATGTTGTTGGTTTGCAAGATCTGGGCAGAGTTGTTAATGGCAGGACTTTGGGGAGGCCATTAACTCATATAGTCACCAAACATCAGAAGTGACTTTATGGCATATAACATCTTTGGAGGTTATCATCATCATCATCATCATCATCATCATCATCATCATCATCATCATCATCATCATCATCATCATCATCAAGCAGTTCTATAGCAACAAGATGGGTGGAGTGGAGACTATGATAGGATAGAGTCACCAACACTCTGCTAACATCTTTTCAATTTATATGATCTGTCTTAAAACTGGGACATTTTAGGTTTATCTGTTTCTGAAAGAGGAGTGGTGAAGCAGTTTTACTTTTACAAAATCACAACTCAGAAAACTTTTGTGGAGATTTCCCCAAAATTTGCCACAGAGCAAGAGAAGACTGTCTGCTACAGCTGTGCAAATTTGGTGCTGATCTGAAGCCCAATTTCAAAATTACTATTTTGTTCCCCTCTGGGCTGCTTTCATTTTCAGAATTGCATTATAGAATGTTGATTTGTTCTGCCGGCTCGAGATCAGTCCTGCACTCCCATTAGAAGATGGTACCTCATATAATGTATTCGCGAAGGCTTTCACAGCTGGGATCTAATGGTTGTTGTGGGGTTTTTTGGGCTCTTTGGCCGTGTTCTGAAGGTTGTTCTTCCTAACGTTTCGCCAGTTTCTGTGGCCGGCATCTTCAGAGGACAGCACTCTGTGCTCTGGTATAGTTGGCTTGGGAGTGCCAGTATTTATGGCTGTGAGACAGGCTTTTGTCTTTTTCTGTAGATGGGTGATTAGTGTGTCTTGTTGTGGGTGTATTTTTGTGATAGTGAGAAGAGACTATCTGTCACTGTGGTTGATGGGTGTTATTAGCAGGTCTTTTGTGTGCCGGCATCTTCAGAGGACAGCACTCTGTGCTCTGGTATAGTTGGCTTGGGAGTGCCAGTATTTATGGCTGTGAGACAGGCTTTTGTCTTTTTCTGTAGATGGGTGATTAGTGTGTCTTGTTGTCGGTGTATTTTTGTGATAATGAGAAGAGACTATCTGTCACTGTGGTTGATGGGTGTCATTAGCAGGTCTTTTGTGTGTATTAATCCCCTGTCGTGGTTGGGTAGAGTTCGTTGACCTTTTGCATGCTGTATTTTGGAGAGCTGGGAGCCAAGTTTTGTTGAGCTTCACACTTTCCTCTTTTTTGTTGAAGTTCTGCTGGTGCTTGTGGATTTCAATGGCTTCCGTGTGCAGTCTGACGTAATGATTGCTGGTGTCCAGTATTTCAGTATTTTGCAATAGAATTTCATGTCCAATTTGTTCAGCTACTGCAGATTTTTCTGGTTGTTTTAGTCTGCAGTGTCTCTCATGTTCTTTGATTCTGGTGTGGATGCTTCGTTTTCTGGTTCCAATATATACCTGGCCACAACTGCAAGGTATCCAGTATACTCCTGCAGTGGTGAGGGGGTCCCTTCTGTCCTTTGCTGATTGTAACATTTGTTGTATTTTTGTGGTGGGCTTGAATACTGTTTGTAGGTTGTGTTTTTTCAGAAGTTTCCCCATGCGGTCCGTGACCCCTTTGATGTATGACAGAAATACTTTATTTGTGGGTAGCTGGTTTTCTTCTTCAGTTCTGTGTGGTTTTCTTGGTTTGATGGCTCTTGTGATTTCATTTTTGGAGTAGTCAAATGTCTCTCCCTGTCTCTCCCTTCACCCTGCCTCCAGCCTGCTATACACATACTGTTGGTTCCGAAACATGAGGGCAGATGAATTTTTGCATTCAGTTGGATTTACTTTTCATGCTTTGTGTTTGAGTTTAGGGAATTTGTTGCTGATGCTTAGAGGGAATGGAGGGAGTGGAGCCTGAGGTTGGGATAAGGTGAGGTAGGCATGCTTTGCATCAGTTCTTTGTACTGTATACCTCTCTCCTGCTGGTCTCTCCAACAGGTACACATTTATGTGGATGCTGTGATCAACCATATGTGTAGCTCTGGGGCTGGCTCTGGCTATGATGGTATCTGTGGGAGCTTCTTCGATGCAGCTGTGCGAGACTTCCCTGCTGTTCCATACTCTAGCTGTGATTTCAGTGACCAAATATGTAAAACAGTCAGTGGGGATATTGAAAACTACAGTGATCCCATTCAGGTAAATTTTTACAGTCTTGAGACGTTGGCCTGCAGTACGATTGCTGCCTGTGATGTCTTTCAGGCATGTCATGAATACACTTTTGGAACAAAATGAATACCTTTGTAGTTGCTGATAAGGCTCCCAGACAGATTTGTGAGTGGCATTATTGTATCTCCAAGAGAGAGAGAGAGAGAGCAAGAGCTTAACCCTTATGTGGCATCAGGATTTTAAGACTGAGTTGCAGGGTGTTTTCTGACTCCGTTGAAAATTCCAGTGTGTTTGTGTTTAAGGATGAGGTTAGCATTGCGGTTCTAGTTTAGTACAGTTGGGCCACTGTTATTCACAGGATCAGTACCCCCAGTTTCACTTGTCCGCTGCCTGAAAATATTCAGTAATAAACCCACCCTGAAATAGGTGTTTCCTTTGTATATGACCAGAACTGGCTACTAGAGGGAAACTGAGACTATGCTATACAGTATATAAGGTTCCTATATCCATACTTCCTGGCATTTGTGGTGGGGAGGACTTGGAACCGATCCCCCATGGATAATATGGTCCTACTATACAGTGGTGCCTCGCTTAGCGATATTAATCCATTTCAGGAAAAACTTTGCTAAGCGATTTTAAAAAGCCCATAGAAATGCATTAAAACGTGTTTAATGCGTTCCTATGGGCTTAAAAACTGACCTTATGCGAAGATCCTCCATAGGGACGGCCATTTTCGGTGCCTCTAAAGCGAGGCAAAACAGCCATTTTGTTTTTCCGGCGGCCATTTTGGAAGCGCCAACCATCTGTGCAAAAAGGGTCGCTTTGCCATGATCGCTCCCCTGTGATCATCGCAAAGCAATTTTCCCCCATAGGGGCCATCGCTAAGCGATCACTCTGGCGATGGCCAAAACCCCATCGCTAAGCGATTTCATTGCTCAACGGAGCGATCGCTAAGCAAGGCACCACTGTATATGTTTCCTATATTTCCTTATTCAAAATAATTGAGATAATTCTGCAGCATAATCACAGCCTTCCCTGATTTCAGCCAGCTGCCATGTACAGCTGCAGGGCTGGCCTTTTTTGTACAAATGAAAGGCCAAAAAAAAAGTACATACTAAACTATCAATTTTTGCCACTCTGTTTTGTCCCAGGCCATGTAACATGCTGGGTGGGGGTGGGGGGAAGAGAACCGCTAATTTTTCTGTGAAGTGTGATGCAGTGAAGCAGCAGTGGTGTGCTTTTGACTGTTGGCAGGTCTTTCAAGAGGAGGGGAGGGCACTGATTTAGGGAAGTGTTTAAATGTTCGCTTGGAAAGCTGAAGAAAACCAAACAATCCTAAACTGAACTCAGAAATTTATTCGAGTAAACACAGAAATCCAGTATTAACTGGGATAATCCACTATGGGAGTTGTCTGAATGTCTCGGTTGTATTAATATACAGTGCAGTCTTACAGATGGCATTGGACGGATGTGAAGCTGGAACAACCAGTTCAGCCAAAGCCATTCTAGATTTCCCTCAGCAGGGCAGAAGGGGGTAGGGGAAGTTGCCCTTACTACTCTTCCTCTGTTCTTTTCCCTGTGTGTTTTCCCTCCATTGTTTGCACTGAGAGAGAAGTCAGCCTCCCAGACTAGCTGCAAGGATAAGATACATTTTCCTGAGCTTAATCAGAAGCTGGAAGGGCTTTGGAGTCTACACATCCTAAGGCCTGCTATGGATCCAAGGCCTCTGTCAGTCTGCTCATCCTACATAATTTTATTGCTCAGTGAGATGGAGCACCTGGCTGTAGAGCCAGAGGTGTTGGGAGTTCTGTTCCTCACTGTGCCTCCTGGGAGAAAAGCCAGCTTGTGTCGCCTTTGGTAAGCTAGGTCAATCCTACATTGACCCCAGAAGAAGGGAATAGTAAAACACTTCTGAATACATTATCCCTTCAGAACCATGGAGAGGATCTCTGTAAGAGGGAGGCGATTCAAGGATACATGATTATATATTATTAATGATTTATCTAACCAGGGTTCACTTTGTGATGAATCTGCCGCATGAGTTACACGGGCAGTGGCATAAAATGGCAGCCATGAATGGCTCATGAACAACAGGTCAGCACTTGTGTCTCTGCTCACACACCAGTCCCATGAGTTGGTACGTAAGGATTGGCATAGGCAGCGACTTGCATATTCAGTTAAACTACCAATTCGGTTCCTTGATTTATTTGTTACCGTTCTCCCAGAACTGGGATCTACAACATCTTACATGATAATGTAAAATTGAAATGCAATAAATCACTTAAAGATTGGACCTTCAAGGTCATAACTATGGCTCTGACATTGAGAAGGCAGCAGAATCAGTGACAATTTCTTTCTGTCAGTACAGGTTCGCAACTGTCGCCTGTCAGGTCTTGTTGACCTAGCACAAAGGAAAGAGGATGTGCGTACAAAAATAGCCGACTACATGAACCGCCTGATTGATATTGGAGTGGCTGGGTTCCGGATTGATGCAGCCAAACATATATGGCCCCAGGACATAAATGCTATCTTAAGCAAAGTAAACAATCTAAATACACAATGGTTCACCAAAGGATCACGACCATTCATCTATCAGGAGGTAAGGAATAAATAGCTCATTGGAAGGACAAATCCTGAAGTTGAGGCTCCAATACTTTGGCCATCTCATGAGAAGAAAAGACTCCCTGGAAAAGACCCTGATGAAGGCAAGAGGAGAAGGGGACGACAGAGGACGAGACGGTTGGACAGTTTCATTGAAGCTACTGACATGAATCTGACCAAACTCTGGGAGGCAATGGAAGACATGAGGGCCTGAAGTGCTCTGGTCCATGGGGTCACGAAGAGGCGGACACAACTTAACAACTAAACAACAACAAGGAATAAATAACAATATTGTGTTGCTATTATGTATTGCCGGATTGTTTCTGACTTATGGCAACTCTGTGAATTACTAGGCCTTCAAGAAGTCCCATCATCAGCAAATTAAAGTCAATTCACTTCATTTTAGGTCTTCCTCTTTTTCCTGCTGCCAGTAGTATAATATATGTGTATTTTTGTGTAGTGCTTTAAAATGTTCCAAGTGTTTTATTCTTATTATTTCATTACATCCTGTACGACAACCCTGTAAAGTAAGTTGGGGGGGCTGAGGCTAAAGGAAGAGTTGTCCACCTAAATTTATTTATTAATTATTTATTAGATTTTTATCCTGCCCTTCTAGACAATGTCTACTCAGGGTGGCTTACAATAAAACATATCTTAAAACAGTTAAAACAATTTAAATCAATGGTATTAGTGTTGTTCAAGATGGGCAATGTGAGAAAAAGGTAAAGTAAAAGTTAAATATTGACAGGAGGGAAGGCCTGCCTAAAGAACCAAGTCTTTAATTGGCTCTTAAAAACACCCAACGAGGGTGCCAGGCAAATCTCTGATGGCAAGCTGTTCCAAAGTCGAGGGGCCACTGCCAAGAAGGCCCGGTTTCTTGTTCTTTCTTTCTGGGCCTCCCTCAGCGTTAGGCCCCTCAGCCGTCTTTCCTGGCTATATCGAGTGACATTATTAGATCTTGGTGGGAGAAGGCATTCCTGGCACACATTGCCATCCTGTGTGTGTCCTCTCAGAAGTAACTTCAGTGGAAGCAAGTGAGTTGGCTATAGGGCAAAAGACAAAGGGTGAGGAAAATCTCATGGACCAGGGACAGGTTTCTGCTCACATGAAAAAGTTATATATAAAAACTAAAAACAAACAAACAAAAAAAGGGGTCAAAATACAGGTTGCGTTTGGGATGGATTGAGTGCCAAACTACCTCTCTTGGAAGGTTCCAGGATCAGAAAAAAAATCTATGCACAATTTGTGCAAAATTTCTTTCTCACTCCCGCCGCCCCTGTAGTGGCTCTGAAACAGTCAAACAAACAAGCCAGCAACCCTGTGGGGCTTTCTGTTGCCAATAGGCCGCACTTTCTTTCACCTCTGGGATGAATGCTTGGTTTAATTCAGCCAGGCAATTCTTGTTTCTGTTTTCCAAATAAATAAAATACCATAGTCTAACTGACCACAGGAGTTGATGTTCATGTAGAAAACTGGGGTTTGTGTAAAATATTGGGAATCAGGAAGTATGCACCCTTCCAGCTAAAGGATTTTTAGGATCAAGTACGTTTCAGTTGGAAGTTTGTCCACTGATATCATAAAATATAGAAGTGAATGAAATTAGCTGGTTGACATCTGGGGTGGGTACCATTGCTTACAATAATGCAGAACCTCCAGAACTAGTAAAGCATTGAAGATGCCAGTTCCTGCAAATGTAGAAATAATATCTGGCGATGAATTGATTCTAACAGGAGCTGTTATGATCAACTAAATAGAAAAAGATACCTGTGTCTTATTTCAGCATGTTGGCTGCCAGTAAAAGAGACCTGCTTAGGTCTGTGATGTTAGTTTTTCAGGAAAATGAAACAGTGCTCTTATCCTTCCTCTGTTTTCCCATTTTTAACTTCCAGGTAATTGACTTGGGTGGCGAAGCAGTCCAGAGCTCTGAATACTTCAGAAACGGCCGAGTGACTGAATTTAAATATGGCACACAACTTGGGACTGTCCTCCGCAAGTGGAACGAAGAAAAGATGGCAGCTTTAAAGTAATGGACTTTAGAGACCATCTAGCCTCAAGGGCCCATGGGCAGGAAGGCAGAAGGCAGATGTCTCTGGGCTTGGAACCCAGTGGCGCGGATGGCCCTGCCCTCAGCCTGAGAAAACTCTCTGTGGGCTAAAGGAAGTGGTGGGTGTGGGCAGGTGGGCAGGACCCTCCACGGTGGTGCTTTCTGGTCCATGCTGAGAAAGGACAGCGCTGCTTCCCTGGGTTGCTTAGTTCACCTGAAGCATTATTCATTGAAATGTGTAATGATAAGGAAGGTTCTCATTATTATTATTGTTATTGTTGTTGTTGTTGTTGTTGTTGTTGTTGTTATTTTTGTTTTATTTATTGTTGTTGTTGTTATTGTTTATTAATTATTATTTTACATTTTAGGAGCTGGGGAGAGAATTGGAACATGATGCCCTCTGACAAAGCCATCGTCTTCATAGATAACCATGATAACCAGAGGGGACATGGTGCTGGAGGGGCCTCCATTCTCACTTTCTGGAACCCAAGGTAGAGAAGATATTTTTAACCATCCGCCAAAGCCTTTTTAATTCTTCAGGTTTTGCTTGGCATGCCGGAATAAATTCCAAGTCAAGAAATACACATACAGAGTTTCTTTAGGAGCCATTTAGCGGGGGGGGGGGAGCATATAGAGTGACAGGTTTTGTCTGTAGTCCTTGTTTCTGCCCCAAGCATGAAGCGAGTTATTCAAAACGAAGGCCCTTGCAGACCAGCTGAATGCCTTTCCAACCTCATTAGCAGCAGTGTTAGGAAACCATGGGACCTGTACTTGATTGAGAAATGTCAGGAATTGTGTCATTTTCTCTAGTCCCCACCCCACTCTTTGAAATTTGAAGACCACAGGAGGAAGGGAGCCACAAGCTTATTTTACATTTAAGATACACAGAAAAAGGAATAGATAAGAGTGGCAGTAATGTCACATTTCCATGAGCTTTCATCTCCTTGCAAGATATCTCGCTGGTTGAGGTGGGAGATGGCCACCCAATATTGCATAGTTTTGTCAGCTTCCCATCTTTTCCTTATTCCATTTCCACCTTTCTGGGTGCCTAATCTACCTTTTGGTACCAGGCTGTGTTTGGTGAAGGGCCATGAAGATGACTTCATCTCCAATTTATAAGGACCTTGCTATTCTACAGTTGTTTCAGTAAAACGTTTAGCTATGTCTCTCAATTTTATCTCTGATTAACAAACTAAACAGTATGCAAAATGTTTATTTATTTATTAACCTATATGCCGCCCACTCTACCCAAAGGTCTCTGGGCGGCTTACAACAATTAAAATTCAATTAAAATACAATAAAAGATAAAATGATTAAAATACAATTAAAATTGCCATCAGGACCCACAGTTGATGTTATTTCAATTAAAAGCCTTCTGGAACAGGAAGGTTTTGACCTGGCGCTGAAATGTCATCTGTGTCGGCACCAGACAGATTTCAGTTGGGAGGGCATTCCATAGTCTGGGGGCAGCTGCTGAAAAGGCCCTTTTATGTTTATTGTTATGAAAAGGGACAACTATTGTCATGATGACATTGGCCTAAATCTAATTAGTAGTGCCAATCCTTTCAGCTATAGACCCACTGAATATTTAGCAAAAGGTGAAGCAGGGCCTCTGTGAATCCTGCTCATTCATTGTATCTGTTCTAGCTGGATTTAGGCTTAGTGTTTAGCAGTAGTGCCTAATGGCTATGTTATGTGCCATCAAGTCAGTGCTGACTTACAGTGATCCTAATAGCGCTTTCAAGGTAAGTGAGATAAGGAATGTTTTTACCAGTTCCATATCCCCACTGAGACTCTGTGGCTCAACAGAGATTCGAACGTAGGCCCCTGAGTCCTAGTCTGTCACTCTATCCACTACACCACGCCGATCTTATAGTGCATAATTACCTGTACTGAATTATTATTATGGTTACTGTCCCTGCAAAATTCAGATTTCCTTGGACATACACACTTTTTCTGATTTTAAACGTGTCCTGGGAATTGAGGGGCTGCAGCAGTGGTATTCTCCTATTACATTCATCTTGAACAGTTGCAAAAGCTGGTTAGAGGTGGTTTGAGTGGCAGTCAAACAATATGAATCACGAGCCTCTAAGTATCCAGTCATGAAATCAATCCCATTTAGTACAATAGGGCTTGCTTACTGGCAGGTGGCCATAAGACTGTAGTCTTAAACTATACGTTTCTTATGTAAACGTGTTCCCTCTCATCAAATACGCAGCGTGATAATAATCTAAACACTTCTGGGTCCAAAGTTTCTTTGCTCCAAATGAATAAAGACCGAGAAATTATTAATGGATGTGAAAGGTGGAAAGCTGGAATATCTTATATCATGTAACGAGAAATGCAAGGTACAGATGGTTACAGTTGATCATTTAACCTACAATAAAAGGCAGAAGTAGGAAGAAGAATATATTAACTGAAGGACTGGGAGACTGATTTGGATGCAACACAATATTATTTCGAGCCACCAGACCCAAAGTCACAATAGCCATGAGGATGTCCAGCCTCTGATAGGAGAGGAACAAAGAAACAGATACACATATGTCTCTTATCCATTTTATAGACTCTATAAGATGGCGGTTGGCTTTATGCTTGCTCATCCCTATGGGTTTACAAGAATAATGTCAAGCTACAGGTGGCCAAGGGATATCCAGCATGGAAAGGTAACTGTTGGCACTCAATATATACATACAGTAGTTATTTGTTGGTTTATAAGCCAGAACCTATTATTTTCAAAACCAGCAGAAATACTGAGAAATTGATTTCATAATTCGAACCAAGATAGCTGAGCTTATGTTGCACTGAAATCTGTGGTTTTGTCAAGTTGTAACTCATCTCCCACTCTTTCTGAGTAATGTAATCATGACTTTCTAGAGATTGAGGCCATGACTGTAGATTCCTTCACAAACCTGAAAATATAACGTATAGAGGAAACTCTTAACATGGAGTTCAGAAATGACATTTTGGGAGAAGGAAGGAACCCCACATAGGTTGTGTGACACAGGTCTATAGATTTCTAATCAGGGTTCAGATGATCTCTAGGAGTCTCGTGTGACTAGACTTTGGGTGTGTTTGGAGGGCAGGACCTGATACTGACTATGAAGAAGTTAAATTCTTGTTTCTGAATTCTTTTGAACCAGTGAGTGAATGAGTAGCTTATCTATACCTCGCAGGGTTTACCCTGCCCTATAAGGGCTCTCAGAGTGGCTCACATATCAATGGAGATCAAAACAAGACAATCCATGCCCTTAGGCTTATAGTCTAAAAAAATTCCAAAAAAGATAAGACATGAAAAGGAACAAGGATGGGGAAGGGGAGTGGAGGGGAAAAAGAAGACTCAGGCACACATTCCTAATGTTCTGAAGTCCCTCAACCTGATAGAATGATTACATTTTGTGCTGTCTGATTAGTTACGTGTCCTCTTTTATAACAAGGACTTGAATGATTGGGTTGGACCACCAAGCAATAGTGATGGAACAATTAAACCTGTTACAATTAATCCAAATGGCTCTTGTGGAAATGATTGGGTCTGCGAACATCGTTGGAATCAGATTAGGTAACTCTCAGTAGCTTAGTTATGTCACTGATTGGGTCTCCTTGAGAATTGATCAGCTATTCTTAAGACCGGGATTCATTTTTCCATCTTTTAAGGCTGGGTCTCCATCACGTAGCTGGTTGTGTGGACCACTGTTCATGGGAGAGAGGCCCTATCAAAGGGGGAAAACTAAGGATTATTCCCAGCAGAATTGTCATCTGGATATTTTTGTTTCATTTATCTTAAGCTGACCAATGCCCTTTTTACAAGAAGATGGATATGCTATAATTCATCTTGCTGATCTTCTTTTTTCATTTCTAGGAACATGGTGAGGTTCCGGAATATTGTATATGGACAGTCCATTACAAACTGGTGGGACAACAATAACAATCAAGTGGCATTTGGACGTAATGGCAAAGGATTTGTAGTGTTTAATAATGATGACAGGTATGTTTAAGTAGGGATGAAGGAGTTCAGAAAGGCATACTTAACACACAACAAGCAAAATAATTTATTCTGCATCTTTGGATCAGCTGTGGTGCCTTAGAATGTGCTCAAAACTGATTCACACCATAATCAACTCTGGTGAATCTGTGATGATGATTAACTCTACTAGTGATTTTTTAAATGAGTGTGCATGTTTTTAATGCCTGTGCTGTAGTTTTCAGAACGTAAAACATAGACACCTGAAACTTGGCATGCAACCTAAGAAGTCCTGTGCTTTGGGGACATTTTTTTTAAAAATGGATTAACTTAAATCCCTTTAAATCAATTGGTAGTAAGAGAACAGACTTCTCTGACCACCAGCGATAAGGAGAGTTGGGTTGAGCAAAGAAGGATCACTTCATTGGGTCAGTGAGGGATGAGAATGAGTACCTAGGGGAGAAATGAGAGAGAAAGATCACTTGGCTTTCTGAGAGAGAAGAGGAGGTAAGTGGGGTAAGTGAGTGAATAAGAGGAGCAAATAAATAAATCATCATAGAACTTCAGGGCTGGAAGGAACCCTATGGATCATCAAATCTATTCACCCAAGGGGGCACAGTGGGGCATCGAATTCCCAACCTTGTTTACAGACATGCCTTTGCCCTGCACTTTTCAGGTTGCTGATGGAGAGATGCAGGGTTGGGTTGGCCTGTTACAGAAAGACTGATGTGCTCAAAAGACCGGATGGCGATTTTCTGTGCCTTGTCCATCTCTCTTTGCCTGTGAATACTGAGATGAACAGATGCATGAATGGCCCTGTAAAAATGCACCCTAAAATGATTTATATCACATTAAGAGATGTAGTACGTTTCTGTGGAAGAAGCCAGTCGAATTAGTAACTGGTGTGATCGTACAATGAATCATTAGGCATATGAATTAAAATACAGTGGACCCTTGACTTACAGACAGCTCGACGTACAGACTTTTTGAGTTACAGACTTCTCTGGCTGCAAAATTTAGATTCGACTTGCAGCCAGAGAATCGACTTACAGACCAGAAAAAAACCAAAATGGAACAAAAACAGAATAAAAACTGGCACTTATGGGATTAATTGGTTTTCAATGCATTGTACTGTAGGTCACTGGAGATTCGACCTACAGACTTTTCAACTTGCAGCCACCGTTCCAGTACGGATTAATTCCGTAAGTAGAGGGTCCACTGTAAGTGCATCAGGGGGCAAAATGTTTTGAGCTAGAGACAGGCATCCTGGTGCCCTTCAGAGGCTATAGTTTTGGGGCTACAGCTCCCACAATCTTTACTCACTGTCCATGCTGGCCGGGCTTTATGGAAATTGTAGTCTCAAACCATCCGGAGGGCACCAGCTTGCCTGTCCCAAAGTAAAGCTTTACCTCCAAATATCGGTGTACATTGAAAGGCATGAATACAGAGGGAACAAACCTTTTGGTTTTGTACAGGAATTTGTCCGTAATCCTCCCAACTGGTCTTCCTGCTGGTGTTTACTGTGATGTCATTTCGGGACAAAAGGAAAGCAACCTCTGCACTGGAATTCAAATCCACATTGCTGCTAATGGGACCGCTCACTTTCACATTAATAGTCAAGCTGAAGATCCATTCATTGCAATCCACGTTGAAGCCAAACTGTAATCCGCACAGAATTATCCATCTCTTATTTATTTCCCCCAGTCCCAATTTTTCATTCTCTGTGGTTGAAAAAAAAAGAGGAAACCATTATAAACTACTTGGCTCAAAAATAGATGTCATTCATGACTCAAATCTGTGGGTGTTTGTTTATTTATTAATTTCAATTCCTGCCTCTTTTCTCCTGATAAGAAGATACAAAGAAGACCCTGGCCACAGAAGGGGTCCATCTAGTCCAGCATTGTGGGTGAAATCCAACACAACCTACCTCTTGAAGAAGCAACATCCGTTACTAGAACTGGGAGGAAGCAAATTGCCCCTCCTGCTTACCTGTCATAAAATTTCCTGTAGGACGGTGACTGGGGTGCAACAGATGCACTCCAAATCTCTTTTTTTGTCTCTGATTCTGCTGTCTAGTGATGAAGGAGATGATTCTGCTCCTCAAGAATTTGGGCAATTGGGATGAGGACAGGTGAATGACTTGAAAAGATGGATGTTAGCAGCATACTGTCCTGAACACACCACTTTTATTTCGTTTTGGAAGCTAAGCAGGGTTGAGCCCAATCAGTATTTGGATGGGAGGCAAGTATGAAACATAATTGATCTTCTTACAGGGATTGAAAACAGTCCTATTGGAAGCCTAGAGAACCATTTTGAGCCAGAGCACACTTCTCCCTTGAATTCCATGGATCTGAGCAGCACATAGATTTTTTCCCAATAAATAAATAAATAAATATTCCAATAAATACTGTACCCCTAGCCATCCCATGAATTCAACACCAAAGGTGCAAAGTGGTCTACTTCCTCCAAACACAACATCTCTAATTGAGACTCTAGATCAGGGGGTCATAAGGACCTTTAAGGCTCGTTACACATGGTACATTACGGAAAGGATTGTCAATATTATGGAAGAGAACATTGATAGAACTGTTCTCTCTTACTCTCATACATAGATTGTGAACTACATGGGGGCCTGGCGCCCCTAACCCCAGCACCCCAGGATTGTTGAAGAGAGCTAGGCAGGCCAGTAAGCTGAATCAGCATAAAGCACCCTCTGCTCCTACTTTTGCATCCATAGGGTTTACTGGGAAGACCAAAGTGTCAGAATCTGTTCCATGTGATCTTTCATCCACTTTGTCTTTCACTGGCTATTTGATAAAGCTGGAATGCAGTTCACTATCCATTGCCAGAATCATACTCAATACAGAAATTAACACTTAAATGCACTGGCAGCAGTCTCATATATATGTGAGGCACTACTGAATGATGCTGTTTGTGTAGTGATGATTTGATGGGCAGGTGAATGATCCCCTCTGCTGTAACAGAATGACAGGAGGCTGTGAGATTTTGATGGAATCGGGATAAGAACTATGAAAGGTTCAATCAGACAATATCTATGTTAATACATGTTAATTTGAATCTAGCTTGGAGTAAATAGATTTCAAACAATGTTGGCCATAGACTGAGTAGGGAGTGAGAAGTCTTAATGCTCATTTGAGTTAAAATTTGCCTGTTGGCAATATAAGCCACTTCTAATGTTAGAATCACATTTTTTTTAAAAAAATACATGTTTTTCTCGTATACATGTATTTATACTATTTGTTTTTAGAGTATATTTCTCTTCTAGTCTTCTGTGAATGAGATGATTAATAAGGCAACATTAAAAAAAGTCACTAGGAAGATACCAAATTCCTGTCCTCATTCCAGTAAATCTATAAAACCATAAAAGCTGATGAGATAAAATTATTAGGTATTAGTTGATTTCAGAAATTCAGAGAAGGAGCTTGTGTTTGAATGTTTAAGTCCTATTACTTTTTCCTTTCCATTCCAGCATTGTATACCAACAGCCATATAATCATAATTAAAAAGCAGAAAAAGTGTCTTTTTTTCAGTGTTCAGCTATCAAGATTCTTGCAGTGACAAATTAAGTGCCATTATTTGATGTGCTGGATGAACAAAAGCATCCGATAGATAAGAAAATCTGTGGTTCCAAGGATATCTCACAAAGTAGTACCTCTTCTGTTATATCATGTATTTCCCCAAAAAACTCTTTGACTTTGCTGCACTCCCAGACATATACAGTACGTCTAAAAGTGCTAATTACATTGGATTGGTTGTTGTTCTTACTGTTTAGCTTGGTGTAGTTTTGAATGCTGACACATGGTATCCATGACTCTCAGTGAGTCTACAAAAACTTCAGTTCTCAGCATTTCTTGGATGTAGGAGTAGAACAAGGCAGGGAGGTCTTCTTCCTCCACATGTGGGAGTCGTAGTCCAACAACGTGGAGAGCTGCTTCCCATTTAATCTTTCTACCACACTCTGTGCTTTCTCTCCAGCTCTACACTGGTTTACAAATCATGGGAAAATAAAACCATTGCCCCAGACTTAGCCTTTTTTTAAAAAAATGTGGTTCAAAGAGAAAGCAATGATAAAGGAAGAGGGAGTTAAAAGCAAACAATCATGAGATTAAGTCAGAAATCTTTTATAAGCCCAGCTGGGTAGAAGCCCTTCTGGCTTTGCAGAAGATGTGATGAAATGGGACTTTGTTTTTCCATTTTTGTTGGAAATATGGTGGGTGATTGCAGAGGAAATGCCAAAGCAGCAACAGATAGGGAGCATACTTATTCTGGGCCCATTTTCTGAAGTCCTCTTTTGGTAGGACTTTGATCAGGATAGGGGAATGAGACTGCTTTGGTTATTTTAGTGAGTGACCAACTCCCACTGTGTAGATGAGGGGTTGATGTGCACAGCCCTATTCTCCTTGGCATCTGGGTGGTTTTCGATGCTGTTTACCATGCTTCCCTTTTATACTACCTGTCCAGGTTGAGCAGCATATTGTGGTGACTCCAGTCTTCTGAGACTGTTCCCAGAAAGTAGTGCTGAAGAACCCTGGTGTGCCTTAACAGATTCTGCCCCCTGGTGTCCCACAAGGGTCTATTTTGGGGGCTGTGTTATTCTGTGTGAAGCTATTAGGGGAGGTACTCTGGAGCTGTGGAGTAAGATGCCGCCCATATACATATAACACTGAGTGCCATTGCTTCTTGTCGCCTAACACTAAAGAAGCAGCCATTACCCCTTCCATGTTGCTTTGGTCCAGTAGTAGACTGGATGAGAATGAAGAAGCGAAAATTAAATCCTGACAAGACAGAGATGCTGCTTTGTATCAAGAGTCAGTCTGCCTCAGGATTGGGATTCAGCTTGAGAAGGGTTGTGCTCCCTGTGAAAGATGGGGCTCATAGTCTTGGAGTACTGCTTGATCCTATCCTGTCCTTGGATTCTTAGTTAGCAGGAACAGCACAGTGTGTATTTGTGCAGTCCTGTGCAGTGATGACTTCTGAACTGGCCTGATTTGGTGACTGTTATATCACTGGCTTGAGAGCCAGTGTGGTGTACTGCATGAACTACCAGATAAGGGCTCATATGTTTCATGGGTTCAGATCCTTGCTTGGCCTTGGAAACTCAGAGGAGATGACAATAGCAAACAAATCCTTGAAACAACTCACATATCTTGGCAGCCTTATTAGAGTTGCCATAAGTTGGAAGTGAATTTAAGGTGATGGTAACATCTGCATTGTAGTTACATTAGATTTTAACATTGCAAGGTGCTTTAGATAAGGCTGCCCTTGAAGAGATTTGTCCCAACTCCAGGAGGCAGTGGAGGGGGGCCTGGCATGCTCTGGTCCATGGGGTCATGAAGAGACAGACACGATTTTCCGACTAAACAACATCAAAAACCATTGAAGAGCACGTGGACAGTACAGCTGGTGTACAGCACCTAGCCATCCCTTCAGAATTATAACCAGTCCCCACATTTGCTGCTTTTAAGAAGCCATTAAAACCTGTCTTCTAAAGTTGGCCTTAAAAAAACCACACAACATGAATTTATGATGGTCATGACTGTATGATGTTGGTAGGTTTTAATGTAGGAATTTGCATATTGTTCACTGCTTTGGTGGTTTTGTAGAAAAATGGTACAAAAATATAAACACATCAATATTGCACCTCTGCGTACACATATGTTTGTGTAGGATCTCTACAGCGCTCGTGCTTCCCACATTCATAACTTAGGACAGTATCTTGCTGCCTAAAGGCAATTATGGAAATTGTTCCCTGCCCAGTTCCAGCATGTGACTGGTTGCGTAACTCATGTTGAAACCTGTGCAAGAATGGGCATGAGATGGGTGTGGATGGGTGTGAAGGACATGCCTAAGTGATGGCCTTTCTGACCCATACTGAGGCATTCGGATATTCGCCTGAACATCTCATGTTACATTCCTTCACAAGAAACAATCTTTAAATGACACTAATGATTACAAAAAAGCAATACAAGAAAAGCATGCCAGCAAATATAACACATTATGCCCTACAATTTTATGTCTTAGTATTTAGCTAACATTCGTTGTCATATCTTCCTCTTCCATCTTGGGACATCCTGTGAAGAACAGACTGATGAATGCTGAAGGCGTGTGCCATAGGTGTAATTCACAAATGTCTGATAAAGTTTACCCGTTTAAAGCACTATCTTATCTCTTCAGCTGAGAACTCAGACAAGAGAAATCACCTTCAGCCTTATCCAGTTCCATGCATTTGTTCAGCCAGAGAATTTGGTCTGTCATCTTCATCTGCTGCATATTTTAAGCCACCCAATGGAAAGACCTTGAATTAGAGGAAATTTGTTTAATGTAGCCAATCATGTGGCTGACGTGTACTTTGAGCTGTACAGAAATATAAATAGCTCCTGAAAACAACAAAGTGCTACACTTTTCAGCTGCTGCCCAAAGCAACATGAAGATTTTTCTTCTTCTGGTGGCTGTTGAGCTTTGCTGGGCTCAATATAACCCAAATCTAGAGTCTGGAAGGACATCTATTGTCCACCTCTTTGAATGGCGTTGGGCAGACATTGCTCTTGAATGTGAACGATACTTGGCACCAAATGGATATGGTGGAGTTCAGGTAGGCAAACTTCAGTGGCGCATCCTGGAAATGTACTTGTCACAGTTTAATTGATTCAAACAGAACAAGTTCAATGAAAAAGAACTTACCAGATTCTGCTGTACTCCTACTTAAAGACACACTGTGGGGGAGTACTTGAAGAGTACTCATTCCATGGTTTCAGTAATGTCAGATTAAATATGTGTGTTGAAATGTGAAGTAAAAATGATAATGGAAAGTTTTCAGTGATGGCTTTTGAAGACATGTGTGTATTTAAAATGTTTGCATGCCACTCAACCGGCAGTGCCTGGGGATGTGGGGCATGCATATATAAAGGAAACAAAATGAAACAAAAAATTTGATAAATAAAGAGCAATTTGTGTGAATTGATCCTCTAACAAATCTTCCACCAGTAGGATCAACCATATGGGATACCAGAAGGAAAACTAAATATTTTTTTCTATGATTGTTAATGATTCTATTGTACTGCTAATGACTGTGGACTATAAACTTATGTTGCAGGGTTTTTAATTCAAGCAGTCTGTTAACAGGATATTGTTTGCCAAGAGGTAGCTTAATGTGGGGTGGATTTAACTACCTCTAACCTGATCATCTGTCAATATAGGAAAAACTGTTCAACTGCATTTCTGTATTTTATCACACTTCTCTATTAGATTGGAAATGTGTAAGGAGAAGAGTGTTGATGATGAGATTCTACTCACCATGCCAGAGGATATCTGAATGACCAGTTTTCCATTTCTACCTGATAAATGGTCTCCTCTTTGTACCCTGGGTTTATTTTTATTTTTTCAGAATGTATTGCATACTTGTTTAGATAGCTGACTGTAGGTGGGATAATAAGCTGTCAGTGTTGATGATGAGATTCTACTCACCATGTCAGAGGATGATGTCTGAAAGACCAGTTTTCCATTTCCACCTGATAAATGGTCTCCTCTTTGTATCCTGGGTTTATTTTTTTTTCCAGAATGTATTGCATACTTGCTTAGATAGCTGACTGTAGGTGGGATAACAAGCTGTTCCGTGCACGTTGTATTGTGTTTGTCTTTCTAATCTAGTTTATTCATGTTCTTATTTGCATGGACAGAAACTAGGGAAAGATATCTTGAACATGTGGTAGCTAATCCCACCATTTGCAAAGACACCATTAGAATTCATTAGAAATAAATGTGTTGTACATTGTGCAAGCAAATCTACTGTGGGATTGTTTGTGATACAAAAGTTTTATATGGGCAGTAGTTCAATTTCATACTCCTTTGGTAAAGCAATGGAGCTGAATTCAAAATTGGTGAGAGTTTTCATATGAGTCCCACAGTTTTGGAACTTACATCCCATTATGAACTAGGTCTGAGCTCTACAATGCTCATCCTTGATTTAAATCAAGTCAGCTAAATGCTTTCAGCATGCCATAGAGAGATTGAATCAAGTCAGCTAAATGCTTTCAGCATGCTATGTTCCCCCAGAATGAGCTGGGACAAAAATCCGGGCTTGTCACTTGAGATCCAAGTAAATCCAGTGGAACAGAATCCCTTGCCTTACCTCATGAACCTAGTGTGACCTTACATGCACAGAGGGAATCTGCCTATTTGATATTTCACAGATTCTTGCCTTGTGGAATATATAGGGCACCTTCTCAGGGTGGTCCATGAATTTCCTTTGCTGCAAAATACCCAGGCTGCTCATTGGGACTCCATACTCCAGTTCTGCATCAACTGCACCAGATAGTTTCCAACTCAAAGTGTTAGGGTTAAGTTTTAAAGCACTAAATAATTTCAGGTCCATCAAACATGAACAAGGACTTCATCCTGTGTAAATCCCTGTCCAGTGACTAAGGTCATTCCTGGAGAAACATTTCTAGTCTCTGTAACCCCTAGTGGTGCGATGGATGGCTAGCAAGGAAAGAGACGCCTTATTAATATCCCTCACCAGCACATTGGTACTGTTTTGATGCCAAGAGCTTCTTCCATGCAGTCCTTGGCATGCATTTCACACTCTGTTTTTGAACTTTATTGCTGGCCTTCCAAATTCTAGCATTTAAACCTAAGGCTGATATTTTTGTTTTTTAAAATTCATGGTTGTATGGATTATTTTTTTATTTTTATGGTTGGCATTTCTCCTAGGAAATTGTGAATTGGTGTGGTTTAGAAACCTTTAAATGAATGAATGATGGTGTTTGCTTATCCTAAATGACCTCCCTGACTAGTGTTTCCACCCCTTCCAAATAAACTTTAGTGTCTTAAAGCAGGGCACCACAAAATATGGCCTGCAGTTGCCTGTGGTCCCCAAGGGGCCAAAATGCATCCCTCAGTACCCCAGACCTCTCACCTTTAGTTTTACCACATGTTCAGCACCCCCACTGCATCCCTGAGATCTCTCACCTGTCCCTATTTTTTGCCACTAGAGGGCAGAAGGGATCTAATGGGGGGGCGATATTGGATGCAAGTGGCCCTCTGTGCTTGAGGAGGGGCTGTGTACCCTCTGGATATCTGGAAGTTGCCTAACCTTGTCTACTAGCAGCATTCTTTATTGCTGGGATCAGAGCTAGAGGATGTCTTCCAAGCCTTTATTCAACTGGCACTGATGCTTATTTCTATTACTATTACAATTCTGTTTCCTTGTTCGCTTCCCTTGAATCGGGAACTCCAGATTCACTACAAAATTCCAGGGATTCCAGCAGGGAAAAAAAACATTGTGACTAGGTCTAATAGTTCAATTTCCAATTACGTGCAGGCCTGTAAAGTCTCTCCTGGGCTCTGTGGGCTGTCCTACCTCACTGCTACTCTCCACACGCTTGTGGCTGAAAAAAGGACGGATTAGGCTATGTGTGAGGAATATTGTGCACGGGGTTTCTCTACACTATCTTCCCCCCCCCCAGTTATTTCTCAGTGCCTGAAGAAACCAAGCATTTTTCAAATGCAGCTGAGGAGACCTTACCTATCACCACTTTTGTATTGTTCCTGGAGAACCTGCCTATGTCAGCTACAAGGAGCTCATGATGCATATCTAAAAAGGCATCAGCAGCCCCTTCTAAACTGAGGGAATGCTATTCAGTTGTGTTTTATCGATTCATTTAATTCACAGATCTCCCCACCAAATGAAAATATTATCATTACAAATCCATGGAGGCCATGGTGGGAAAGATACCAGCCCATCAGCTACAAGCTATGCTCACGATCTGGATCTGAGGATGAGCTTAGAAACATGGTGACCCGGTGCAACAACGTTGGAGTAAGTCATGATCAACAAGTAGTTGTTTTCAGCAACTCTGGTTCCATGCCACCGATCTATATTCTACAGCTAGGGAAATAGTGCTTCCAGAAAGACATACCCTATAAACTTTAATCTGCAGTAATCCAAGCAAAGTAGTGATGAAAATTTCCCAGTTTTTTTTTTCAGTTGGATTAATTTGGAGAATGTTCTCAAAAATTAGGCATGCAACTGTGAAAACTCTTCAAAACTGGCACAAAATACCCCACCTTGTGATGACAGTTTGTGATTTGTTAACACTTCCTTTTTAGTACGGGGCTTGTAATTTAGACAGTGGTCCTGGGCACCTGGTAGTTGGTTACCATAAAATGCCCTATGATTGTGCTTTCCAAAGTAGGCTGTAGAGCAGTCCTTCCCAACCTTGTTTCCTCAGATGTTCTTGGACTAAAACTCCCAGAGACCTTCGCCACTTAGCTGTGCTGGCCAGGATTTCTGGGAGTTGCAGTCCAAGAACAGCTGGGGACCCAAGGGCTGGAAATCTGTTATACCGAAGTGGAATGAAGGGCCAAGGGGGGTGGGAAATTCAGTTTCATAATTAAACCAAATGGAAAAGGTAGCAATGTAGGGGTAAGAGGCAGGATATATAACTTACAACCTGATCAAACTTTATCAAACCAGGTCCATATTTATGTGGATGCTGTCGTCAACCACATGTGTGGAAGTGGAGGTGGAGCTGGTACCCATGCAACATGTGGAAGCTATTTTAATGCAGGGACCCGGGATTTTCCTGCTGTTCCTTATTCAGCTTGGGATTTCAATGATGGGAAATGCCATACTGGAAGTGGAGATATTGAAAATTATGGTGATATTTATCAGGTAAATTTTTCCCTATTTCTTCTCTCCTTTATTCTTTGAAAGGAATTGAAATGTGACACAAGACAGCTGAAAAATACCTTATATATATTTTAAAAAAATAGATCAATAGATTGTGGTGGGTGGGAATTGTTCAAGGTCATTAGAAGGTTCTCACAATATGACAAAATCACACCAGTGTCTCCTAGGGGACAAAAGGGGACTTTTTGAGAAAAAACAAGCATTTTACCTGGTAATGCCAGAAAATACAAAGTTGCTGGGGGAACTACACCATGCTTATCCCTGATCCTACAAAACTTGGACTGAACTGGATAATGAGCCTTAATTTAGCAGTAATGCTGGGAGAGGGTGCTTGACTACACAAGAAGGTGGCAGGACAATGTGAGAGGGACAGGATAGCTATGAAGCACACAAAATTCTATCCTGTGAGAGGAGGGAAAGGCCCAAAGTCTTAGAAGGAATGGTTTCAGGTGGTGGGAGTAGTTGTTGCCACCGAGTCCCTGAAAGCTGCTGTTTTGAGGCAATCATTCTGCCTGATGGCAGGGGCAAACAAGTGCTCAGTTAATAGGCATATTTTCAGGATACTGCAGAGCCCAATCTGTGACTTAGCATGAAGACTTTCTGTGAAAGACAAGATTTATAACACAGAAGGATAAATGCATGCATGACAGTGTTGGCATACTTTGACACTGGACTATGCTCAAACCAAGATGTCTGTCTATGAATCATAGAATTATAGGCCTGGAAGGGACACCAAAGGTCTAACCGGAGTTTTCTCCAAACCTTTCTCGCGAGATTGTTTAAGGTGTTGAGGAAGAGACCTGGATGCTTTTCTTTTTCCATTTAAAGCATGAGCTGCATTACTGAATCACCGATGCATTTGGGGGATGTGTACATGGAACCAATATCTGAAAAAACTCTCTTCCAAACAGGTTCGCAACTGTCGCCTTGTTAGTCTTCTCGATCTCGCACTCGAGAAGGACTATGTCCGCTCCACTGTTGCAAATTATATGAACACCCTGATAGATATGGGAGTTGCAGGATTCCGACTTGATGCTTCAAAGCACATGTGGCCTGGGGACATTAAGGCTTTCTTAGACAAGCTACATAATCTGAATACTAAATGGTTTCCTGAAGGGACAAAACCATTCATTTTTCAAGAGGTAATTTGTGTACTTGTCTGTCCGTCATGTCAAAGAGCAACATTACATACCTACATACAGACGTAGGCTGGCACTCGCTTCTCCACGTGTCATGTGATAGCCAGGAAAAGCAGCAGACAATTCCACAAGCAGTCCAAACTGCGATCTATTTCTCAGTGTGATCCCATCCAAAGAGCTTTTCCCTGACTGTTTTGGATAGAAAAGCTGCAGTGTCGTAGCTGTATACACTAACAACCTTTAGATAGTTTCACTTCCTAATTGCAAACAATTCCAGTATGGGACCCTACCTTATTTTTTCCCACCTGTTTGCCCATCGTGCAGGTTGGATCCATAGTGCAGATGCGTCCACCAATCAGTGCTAGAGATGGGCACATGCGCTGGTGGTTCAGCCCAGTTTGGCGCAGTGCCTGTACAGGTGTCCCATGAGTGTTGCATGCTTCCATGTCCTAATGCCTCTGGGTGATCACCCACTCACCAGCAAGAGCATGCTTCCCTCCTCCATCTCCTCATACAAATCATCCAATCAGCAGCACCACTCTGATGAAGAACCAGGGCAGGGAAGCTGCTGGTCACTGGGTGAGCAAACAAAGAGGCAGGGGAGGGAAGCACACAGCATCTGTGGAATACCTGTGCGGGCGCTGTGCCAAACTGGGCCATACTACTGAAGTGCCATGTGTGAGTGTACAGTCTGGCCCCAAGGGGCCTTATTAAGTCCAATTGTGAGGGGATATTTGTATATAAATACCATCTCGCCTAGAGTGGTCGTAATTGACCAGACAGGCGGGATATTAACTAACTAACTAACTAACTAACTAACTAACTAACTAACTAACTAACTAACTAACTAACTAAATAAATAAATAAATAAATAAATAATAGCTCATTTGCACATAGATCACTACATGATGAGCATATTTGTATGAATCAGTTAACATTAATGTGTGTGTATGACAAAGAGAAAAAGAGAGAGGGGGGAAATTAGCTGATAGGCAGGCAACGATCTTGCTTCAAACATAACTATCTTTTTTAATTTTTTTATTGCTTTTCCCTAATTAGATTTCACTCAGTACCAGCGAGATTTTCTAGCTTCCGACACAAATATCACAAAGATTGTACTAGTTTTCTGCCCTTTCCGGGTGAATTCTGTGCATGAAAGGTGCAGTTGTAGACAGGAATGGTAATAATCCCCCACAGCTTGACATTCTCTTCAGTTAAGAATGACCAGATATCCTGCAAAATTTCAGATGAAATTTCTTGGGGATGGGCGGGAATCTCACACAGAGAAATCTGTATACACACACATACAAACAAGTTCCTATATATATAAAACAGTCCACTCTCCCCCCCCCACCTTTCTGTTAGGTGATTGATCTGGGAGGAGAGCCAATCACGTCTGATCAATACTTTGGCAATGGTCGGGTAACTGAATTCAAATATGGTGCAAAACTAGGGACAGTCATCCGCAAGTGGAATGGAGAAAAGATGTCTTATTTGAGGTAATGGTATTTCATATACTTAAGGAAACAAAACAACAGAAACCTTAAGGTTCTAACATACCTTGAAATGCAGTCTGCAATGAATTTGACCCTTTCTCTCTCTCAATCACTCTGTCTTTTCAGGAACTGGGGAGAAGGCTGGGGTTTTATGCCTTCTGACAAAGCCCTAGTCTTTGTTGATAATCATGACAACCAGAGGGGACACGGTGCTGGAGGAGCTTCCATTTTGACTTTCTGGGATCCCAGGTGAGGAATGTTGAAGGTCTGTTTCTCCTTTGACTGAGAGAAATATAAATCTTGGTATCCTGCTCTTCATTGTTTCCCCTCTTTTGCTTATGTTCAGGCTTTACAAAATGGCAGTTGGATTTATGCTTGCTCACCCATATGGCTTTACACGTGTAATGTCAAGTTACCGGTGGGAAAGGAATTTTGTGAATGGACAGGTCAGTTTCTATGTTGTAATATCTATCTATCTATCTATCTATCTATCTATCTATCTATCTATCTATCTATCTATCTATCTATCTATCTATCTATCTATCTATCTATCTATCTATCTATCTGTCTGTCTGTCTGTCTG